GGAATGAAGGAACTAAGGAACAAAGGAAGGAACGAATTAACTAAGCAAGGAATGAATGAACTAAGGAAGAAAGGAACAAAGGAAGGAACGAATGAACAAAGGAACAAAGGAACTAAAAAAAGGAAGGAATAAAGTGCTGTGGATTTATGGGTACTATTTTTACTTTAGGGAGGTTTTCATAATGGAACCTGGTAAGAGGAAGGAAGGAAGGAAGGAAGGAAGGAAGGAAGGAAGGAAGGAAGGAAGGAAGGAAGGAAGGAAGGAAGGAAGGAAGGAAGGAAGGAAGGAAGGAAGGAAGGAAGGAAGGAACAAATGAACTTAGGAAGGAACGAATCAACTAAGGAACAAAGACAGGAAGGAAGGAACTAAGGAAGGAATGAAGGAACTAAGGAACAAAGGAAGGAACGAATTAACTAAGCAAGGAATGAATGAACTAAGGAAGAAAGGAACAAAGGAAGGAACGAATGAACAAAGGAACAAAGGAACTAAAAAAAGGAAGGAATAAAGTGCTGTGGATTTATGGGTACTATTTTTACTTTAGGGAGGTTTTCATAATGGAACCTGGTAAGAGGAAGGAAGGAAGGAAGGAAGGAAGGAAGGAAGGAAGGAAGGAAGGAAGGAAGGAAGGAAGGAAGGAAGGAAGGAAGGAAGGAAGGAAGGAAGGAAGGAAGGAAGGAAGGAAGGAAGGAAGGAACGAAGGAAGGAAGGAAGGAAGGAAGGAACGAAGGAAGGAACTAAAGAACAAAGGAAGGAACAAATGAATTTAGGAAGGAACGAATGAACTAAGGAACAAAGACAGGAAGGAAGGAACTAAGGAAGGAAGGAAGGAACTAAGGAACAAAGGAAGGAACAAATGAACTTAGGAAGGAACGAATGAACTAAGGAACAAAGACAGGAAGGAAGGAACTAATGAAGGAATGAAGGAACTAAGGAACAAAGGAAGGAACGAATTAACTAAGCAAGGAATGAATGAACTAAGGAAGAAAGGAACAAAGGAAGGAACGAATGAACAAAGGAACAAAGGAACTAAAAAAAGGAAGGAATAAAGTGCTGTGGATTTATGGGTACTATTTTTACTTTAGGGAGGTTTTCATAATGGAACCTGGTAAGAGGAAGGAAGGAAGGAAGGAAGGAAGGAAGGAAGGAAGGAAGGAAGGAAGGAAGGAAGGAAGGAAGGAAGGAAGGAAGGAAGGAAGGAAGGAAGGAACAAATGAACTTAGGAAGGAACGAATCAACTAAGGAACAAAGACAGGAAGGAAGGAACTAAGGAAGGAATGAAGGAACTAAGGAACAAAGGAAGGAACGAATTAACTAAGCAAGGAATGAATGAACTAAGGAAGAAAGGAACAAAGGAAGGAACGAATGAACAAAGGAACAAAGGAACTAAAAAAAGGAAGGAATAAAGTGCTGTGGATTTATGGGTACTATTTTTACTTTAGGGAGGTTTTCATAATGGAACCTGGTAAGAGGAAGGAAGGAAGGAAGGAAGGAAGGAAGGAAGGAAGGAAGGAAGGAAGGAAGGAAGGAAGGAAGGAAGGAAGGAAGGAAGGAAGGAAGGAAGGAACGAAGGAAGGAAGGAAGGAAGGAAGGAAGGAACGAAGGAAGGAACTAAAGAACAAAGGAAGGAACAAATGAATTTAGGAAGGAACGAATGAACTAAGGAACAAAGACAGGAAGGAAGGAACTAAGGAAGGAAGGAAGGAACTAAGGAACAAAGGAAGGAACAAATGAACTTAGGAAGGAACGAATGAACTAAGGAACAAAGACAGGAAGGAAGGAACTAATGAAGGAATGAAGGAACTAAGGAACAAAGGAAGGAACGAATTAACTAAGCAAGGAATGAATGAACTAAGGAAGAAAGGAACAAAGGAAGGAACGAATGAACAAAGGAACAAAGGAACTAAAAAAAGGAAGGAATAAAGTGCTGTGGATTTATGGGTACTATTTTTACTTTAGGGAGGTTTTCATAATGGAACCTGGTAAGAGGAAGGAAGGAAGGAAGGAAGGAAGGAAGGAAGGAAGGAAGGAAGGAAGGAAGGAAGGAAGGAAGGAAGGAAGGAAGGAAGGAAGGAAGGAAGGAAGGAAGGAAGGAAGGAAGGAAGGAAGGAAGGAAGGAAGGAAGGAAGGAAGGAACAAATTAACTTAGGAAGGAACGAATCAACTAAGGAACAAAGACAGGAAGGAAGGAACTAAGGAAGGAATGAAGGAACTAAGGAACAAAGGAAGGGACGAATGAACTAAGCAAGGAATGAATGAACTAAGGAAGAAAGGAACAAAGGAAGGAACGAATGGACTAAGGAACAAAGGAACTAAAACAAGGAAGGAATGAAGGAATTAAGGAAGGAAGGAACAAACAAATTAACAAAGGAAAAAATAAGAAAGGAAAAAAGGAAGAAAGGAAGGAATAAGGGAAGGAACAAAGGTAGAATGAATGGACAAACAAACGAAAGAATGAGCACAAAGGAAAATGGGGGCTAGTAAGGACTCTAGGAGGGCAGAATAGCAACAAACATACGAGAAAAAATGGAAGGATACAAATAAGAACAACTAACCCTTTTTTTCATTAGCATATAAAATTAAGTGGAAAACTGCTCCAAGGTTTCCAAGGTCAAACCATGAAATACTTAAATCAATCTTTGCACTGACCTGATTGAACAAAAACACTCAAAAATAAAAAGTCACACTCTAGCAAATGATACGTTTATAGACGATTTAACAGAACGATGAAAATCTGGTGATCAAGCATGGTCAGAAAGCAGGGAGGGGGTGTTTCTAGTCCTGCCTGAACTTTCTAGTTGCAAAGCCCTGTCAAGATAACAGCACATAAAATAGAGAGAGAGAGAGAGAGAGAGAGAGAGAGAGAGAGAGAGAGAGAGAGAGAGAGAGAGAGAGAGAGAGAGAGAGAGAGAGAGAGAGAGAGAGAGAGAGAGAGAGAGAGAGCACAGAAACATGTGGTGTCTCTGCTGTAAATAAGCCACGTGTTTCAGCCTGCAGTGGTTCACCTTCAGAGACACGGAGTGAATTACACCATAGCTATGTCAAAACAATTGGAATTTAAATCCAACACCTTGGGGTGACTTTAGTCTCCTGAGACGTGGTAATCTACCTTCACCGGTTCAGGGGCTGATTTTTTTTGTTGAGTGAATTATTGATTTCAGCTCAGCATTTTGTAAATGTTTACCTCATGGGATCGAGCAGGGCCTATGAATGAAAATGAAAAACTAAACACTGGAGCAGCTCGTTTTCTGTAAAGGTTTTATATGAAAAGCTTTTTTGTCTCAATAGAACAGATTTGATATTTTTTTAGTCAAACGTAAAGTAACATATAATCAAAATGCAAAATAAAATAGTTTTAATATGTTAAAACAATAGAATAGAAAGTATGAAATGCATTTGCATTCAGCCCCAATAGGTCAACATTTTAGAGAACTAAATTATGCTCGCTTCCAGCTGTAAGGATTTTAGATTAATGTCGACCTTTACACTTTATAGGCTTGATTTTCAAAGGTTTCAAATAAATGACCTTTTTTTATGTGTACTATAAGTTGCAGTACTACAAAGACTGCTCACGCTAATGTTAGGAAATGTTGGTCCACCCCTATAAAAATGTGCAGATTGTTACAGCAACGGTTTGAGAGAGGCCTTAAAATGATTAGGTTCCTAGCTATAGAAGTGGAAGTAATAATAATAATAATAACTTTTAATTAAATAATAATGATACTAAATCTTAATAATTAGTCATTTGTCTCAGAATTACAGTAAGCATTGCATCGGGCCTGTCATAAGATCACAGATGACAATAGCCATCCACTTTCCCGAAACTTTGAGCTCCTTCCATCCCAGCAGAGATACATACTTCGTTGTGCCAATAAAAATGTGTACAGATATTCTTCTGTGCCCTCTGCCATAAATGAGCTGAACACGTTGTTACCCAAATGTCACTCAGACTGTTCTGCTTCCTTTCCCTTGATAAAGTGAACCTGCTGCTGCTGTGTCTGCAATGAACTCTTTTATAATTGTATTTTAATGTATTTTACTGATTGTATTGTGTGAGCAAGGCAAAGGCAAATCTCTTTCATCGTTGTGTATGGTAGAAAAAAAAGTTCTTCTATTCTATTCTGTTCTAATAAATAATGATAATTTATAGTGCATTTTACATATATAGCCTTAAGGTTCCACAAACAAAAGTACTCATGAAAAGAACCAAAGATGAAGTTAAATATAAACGATATAAGCATAAAATTTAGAAAAGTTGTCCTTGTTTGTTGATTGAGCCCCTCTCCCAATACTGCCACCCTCTGACTATGAAGGAGCCACAGTCAGTCAGTTAGTTACTTACACAGCATATTTTGCTTTAAACAGATGGATTTACCTTTAGCTGGATTTGGAATTGCTCTGAATTAAGCTCCACCCATCGCCCAGCTTCCTCATCGCTGCTGAAGAAAAACATCCCCACAGCCTAATGCTGCTGCTATATTTCATTATAGGGCACATGTGTTTAGGGTGTTATTTTTCACCCACACAAAGGGCAAATATATCTTCTTCAGCCTGTTGGTTTTGTCATTCACATGGGTTTTTATGGATCCCTCTCTCACTCATCAACAGATTTCTTCTTGCAACTCCTCAGAAAAGGCCAGATTTGTGCACGTCAACTATTCATAACATCTGCAGGTTCTCGCGCTGAGTTCTGGATCTCTGCTGCTGACGTGAAAACAGCTGGTTACTCTTAATTTAGGAGGTATCAAAGTAAATCAGAGTGCATGCATTTGGGATGTATTTGCAAAACATTTGAAAAATAATTTTGAGTCAATAAACCAATAAAATATCACTTTTTGGTCATGGTGAAACCCAAAAAAAAGTCTGAAGGGTATGAATACTTCTGATCTGATCCCGCCGGTCCACCAGTATGAATACTTCCCCTTTAAGGTGTTGCAATGTTTCCCTGTTGGATCAGAAGGGTAACTATTAAGCATGCAGCCTTTCCCTCCAGCTTCGCTCACCCTGCTGATGCTGAACACAAAGCCGGGCTGGCCGGAACAGACGCCCATAAAGCAGAAACGCAGCTGCCAGTAGAACCAGTGCTCGCAGATGAAGGTGATGAGGGAGAGAGCCATGGCGGCGCCCAGCATGTAGAAGACCCCGGCCATGTTGTCCACGTCAAGCTGGCTGGACATCACCTCGTTCTTCTCATGGTGGCAGATCCCCGTCAGCCACAGGGACTCCAGCTCCTCCATCTCACCTGAAGGGAAGGAGGTAGTGACATTGGGGAAAATTAGAGGAAGGACGAAGGCAGGGAGAAGGTGAGGGCTGCAACAGATGGCATGACAGGAGAAGGAGGCATGGGGAGATGGATGAGAGGGAGATGTATGAGGAGCTGATGGGGCACTAAAACAGGTAGTAGAGGCGTAAAGTAAAAGGTTTAAACTGAGAGGATGGACGTGATGTAATAAAAGAAAGCACAGGAGGGCCTAAAACGTTGAATGATGATGCAACGGAAGAAAAACAGAAGGATGGGATTGGAAGAGGGCAGTGGCCCTCACAGCAGAACAAACACAAAACGCGTCACATGTTGATGACATCACACTCTTCCTTCTAAACATATGGCTGCAGGTGTCTGCTCTGCGTCTGTTGCTGGCCCGTCAGTAAGCGGTGTCGTTTGCGGGTCACCTTCTGCTGCATCGCAAGCTGCTCTCAATCAGAGCTGAAAAGGGGCACGGTGGGAATCGCTTAATTAATCGTACAGTCAGCTGCCTTAGCTACACCATCAGAGGGAGGCAGAGAAGCAGAAAACACAGCAACCTCTGCTGTGCATCTGCCGATAAACTAATAAACACACCTCTAACTACTTTAAATATGTTAGATGTTACAGATTCCTTGTTTTTATTTTTTTTTATTCAGTCTTATTAGCAAAGAAAAAAATCATATCTTCAAACTCAAAAGCAAAAACCTTTTTTTAAAAGGTGAAATTATGAACGGAGAATTCAATAAATATCTTATATCATCATTCATCTTTGTCACTATTTGCTATTGTCCTAGTCTATTAAACTTGTTACTATTTAACAAGATGGGTTCATGTTTACTCGCTTAAACTACAAGATGGTGCTACTCTAACATTACACAAGTTTTCTTTGGTTGATTAAGAAAAAGTCTATTTAAACTAAATGGAATGTGAGGTTTATGTTTTTGTAGGGCAGCTGTGTTCAAGTTTTCCTCTTACTTGCTTTCAAACAAACCACAGTCCCTCCACACTAAGCCACCGGCCTTTCAGCGTGAGCCGGATCGCTTTCTAGGCCACGAGGAGCGGCGTGCCACGGCGAGGCGTGGCAAAAGTGACATTGAAATCCTCAGAGGTTGTGAGACAGGGCTGCTCGGTTCCTGCAGCGGCACAGTGGGCCTTACAGCAAGCCGACCCATATTCATATACCAACTGATAAAAGTGACTAAAAGTTTAGACCAATTAAGTTTGATCAGAAAGTGTTTATAATAATTTTCAATGAGTCAGAAACAGTGAATAAAGATAAAGCTATTGAACTGTTTGCATGACAAACATAAACCTCTGACATAAATATCAGAAACCTGACACTTCAGTCTCCTTTTCTCACCAACATTCACAGAGGGATGACCCATATTCACATGTGCACGCCTTCACGCACACACACTAACACACACTCTCACAGAACCCAGTGTCGAAACACACCAGAAGCTATACTGGCATCCCTAACTGGGACACAATAAATCAGGGCTCTGGAGGGGTCCTTGTTTTTAGGAACGTCCCAATATGTTGGAGCCCATCCAACTGAGCTGGCTACAAGACACGACAAAAACCTTCAGACACATAAAACTTCTCCTAAGCTTTTTTATTCTGTATTTTAACATCTATTCAGAAACGTTAAAGCATAGAGCTGCTGAAACTCTGTTAAAAGAAACCCAGTCAATCTCAGCAACCCGCATTTTTATGAATACGCTGGCTGTTTGACAATAATACTCCCAGTCCAATGACAGTGCCAAACACAAAGCAGATAGAGAATACTGTGAATACAGCTTTTTTTTTTTTTTTTAACACACAAGCACAGACCTGCTGTTCTTCCTTCATAATCCTTTTCATTTCACTTTGTTTCTTCTGAGTAGATGGCTTTTAAACCATTGAGACTGGTTGGAACACAACATATGTCAGAATGAGAGGCTCTGTTTAAAAGGAACCATAACAGGCTGCATAGGAAAGAGTGCTTTTCTGTGAAATCCAAGCAGCTTGATATTATGCTAAACAATAGGTTTCCTGAAGTAAAGATAGACTTAAAGATATAGTGGAGGATAGGGTTGTCACGATACTAAACTCAACTCGATACCGATACTAAGGAAAATATTCGATACTCGATACCATTTTCGATACCACAAGGATAAAAACAAAGATTCCAAAATTAAACAGACATATTTTCATTAATAAATAAAATACAATAAATAAATACAATAAACAATAAGAACAATATTTTGAGGTTGTTTGCTGTGCATAATATTAAGCAAGCTTGATAAAAACTTACAAAACTAAAATTAAGTGTTCCTTCCTTGGCTATGCTTTGCACACATACAATAACAATGACACAAGCCAAACCTTCTCAGCAAAATCTCAGCAGCTGCACCTCTTACAAAAAAAGTCTGAAACTGAAAAGTGCACAGAAATATTCAATCACACAATGTTCTGAAAGTGCATTTTCCTCTATTCTGCACTTAAGATGAATGACTGCTTAGGTGCCACTGGTGGTAGCACTGTATCGGTACTTTTAAAGACGAGTATTGTATCCAGATGCAACGTTTCAGTATCGATACTTTTTTGAGTATCGACACTTTTGACAACCCTAGTGGAGGATGTTCTTCTTCCGGGTGGATCATCAAACTAAGTGGTCCTCCAAATTGTTAATCATTCTGGTGAAATGTTTAAGTGAGGCCGTCTGACATGCTTTTTTTCACCGAGTGGTGGTGAGTCTGACATAGTGGAAAAATTGCAAATCTTCATTTGTATGAGCTTGTATGAGCGATGCAAACAGCAACTTTTAAACAGAGCGTGCACGAGGAGAAATGGTCTTGTGCATGATCTCGCATGCGTTATATAGGTGTTCCCTCTCAGGAGTGGGTGCAGGGTTGTGCATGTAATTTTTTTCTTTTAAGCAGAGAGTTTTCAAAAATTCGCAAAAATCCTCCACTATACCTTTAAGTGCGTATCTAGATTACTCTTGTGCACCTATAAGTTAACATCCACCACTTCTTTAACACACAAAACATGTAAGGCTTCATGAATCTTTAAAGAGAATTGCTGGACGCAATGACTTCAAATGTTAGCTGGTGACCAACCTGTCCGAGGTAGCAAAAGTATTTCTCAAACATGCATCTTACTCTGTCAATGTGTTGCAAATTTTTTTTTTAAGATGTTAGGAGCAGAAAGATCTATAATATATAATAGAATTCTGCACAAAAATCCCCAGAAAGGTACAATCAGTTTTATGTTTTTAAGGCTATTAACTGAAATGTATCAAAACAAGGAATAAAAAACATTAAATATGTATTGCAGATAACATAATAACAGCTAAAATGTACAGATGATATTTCAGCAGCGGTTTACAGTAAAGACTGTATGTTTGAAAAGGAATGGTTGTACTGAACCCGTTTTTTCTGCACAAAGAGAGACTTTCACAGGGCATTTAATCACTACTGTTAGACACACAATAATGTTCTAGATGGAGTGGGAATAAAGTGCATTTTGAAACCCAGAAACCCTGGAGATTTTTTAGGAAAAGTCCAATAAAATGTGAGTGCGCTCATAAAAGAGTGGATCCCCACAGTGAAAGCCAAATCACAGGTTATATTAGAGCTCAGCCTTTATCTTTTCTTTTCTGAAACTACTTTACATTTTATTCACACAAGCCAATTAGAGACAAATCCCTTAGAAAAGCCAGACTTTTCTCCTCAGACTCCAAAACTTAGGCCTAATCAGATAGAAGTTAGCATAAAACTAATTGTTGCAGTCATAAGTCGCAGCGCTTTACATAAAAACACACATGCATTTATAAATTAAATCCCAAATAAAAATATACAATGAAAACAAAGAAACATTAAGTGTGTTTTGACCTATCTTTGTTTAGTTTTTTTATTAAGAAGCAAACAGCAATGAAGCATTAAAATGAATAAAATCTCAGAAAATGATCTAATATAAAGGCAACAAACAAAAAACTAATAATTGGAACACGGTGGTTTATCTTTAAAGGTCTGAGCATGGATAGCTGCCAGCAGACATGACAGGCTGACATTTGTTGATGAGCTGACGAATCGAGCAACAGCGTGAATGCAGATGCTTTAAAGGGATAGTGCACCATCTTTCAGGTAACATGTAGAGTGTGAAATCAGTGTCTGGCCTCTGGATGAGAGCCGTCAGCATGATTTCACTTTGACCATTAGAGTATGGAAGAAAAACAGTCTCATTGTAATCTGACTTTTTTTTTTAACAACGAATTTTAAACACTGAATCTTTTTAACACCTGACTTTTTTTTGTTAATAAAAGGCAGATTCAAGTGAGACTGTTTTTCTTCCATATTAGAGACTTATTTTCTTTAGGGTGAATAATATAGAGGTACAGTTGTGCTTGAAAGTTTACACACCCTTCCATTAAATAAAATCATAAATTTACAGAAGTAATTAAAATAACACATAAAAGAAAAAGGAATAACAAAAAAAATACTAAATGATAATATAGTATTAAATATTGAATTAGAATTTTTTTTATTTAAAATAAATCAAAAACAGAACTGTCCCAGACTAATTAAGTACCTTGCTCATGAACAGTGAACCAAATAATCTGTCAATAGGTGCAGAAGTCTGACTGAATATTTCCTAAACTTTACAGAAAACACCTGATTTCAGTGATTGCCTCAAAGTGTTGCTGTCATGATGTCTGGTCTGATTACCTGATCCTGACCTGTCTTCTGACTCCTGCCAGATCTCTGCCTGTTTGTGTACCGTACCTGGAACTATGACCCGAGTCCATCGGGATTCTCCCTCGGCACCTCATTGGATCTCTGAACTCCTGGCTCTGACAATTGAGCATGTCACCGAAATTGGCTTCACCCTTTGGATTATCCTGCCTACCTTCCTCTGTTCAGTTCTGATCTCCTGTCTTATCTCGGATCACCGATACATCAGCATCTGGGTCTCTCTGTGCAGGGATATATATATAGTTGTTGTGCATGAACGTGTTCACAGAAAACTTTTGTATTTTTAGTGGACGTTGGACTGAACGGATCAGTTTTGAAGTAATGAATGTGAACCAGAGCGATGTATACTATGAGAATAATGAGCAACACACACAGCTCATGTTTGGGTTGAATTGATAACAACACTCAGACAGAGAAAAAAAACTGTGCCCACCTGCACTTAACAAAAAAGTCCGTACATCAGCCAAGTCCACTTCAAATTTAAAGCGACACATTGAGTTAAAGCATCCAAGTTATCTTGGGAAATATCTGCTACTAAATGTGTTGATACAGATCTTTTCAGCAGAACCTGAATGTTCCTGTATGTTTCTGAAGTTCTGTGTAATTTGGCTGAATAAAGGCTTCACTGCACATACAGTTTACCTTGACTGCATCGACTAGTTTAAATTTCTTTCTATTCATTTTGATCACGCATTTAAAGGGTGAAATATGAGGTTCTATTGTTTATGATTCTGGCTCAGTTTACCAAATGAACTTGAACTAGCTAATCTGTAGGTTTGTGAACCTATGTCATTCTTTATAAAAGGGAACTATTTATTTTTATATAATTATTATCTTGTCAATATTAATTTATTTTATTGGACATCTGATCTTTCGCTGTCTTTATTAGAACAGTGGGTAAACTTTCAAGCACAACTGTATGGTGTTATAAAGACCATTGAATCTAAATATGTCGTTTAGCTGGAAGACTTGGCCATAAAAGTCTTAGCGTTATTATTTGACAATCAGTTTAAAAGCATTCATCTGATTTTGTTCATGCATTATGTCTGCCTGAAGAATCTTATTCCACTCTATATTTGCATTTGAAGACAAATTTTATTAGAAAAATAACTCTGTTTCATCACAATGTGAACAGAGCTGACCAAACTGTTTTTGCAGAAACCTAAAGATTTCCCACATAAAAGCCACAGCTCTGAAACCTCCTGTATGTAGCATACACTCACTGCCCACTTTATCAGGCAAACCATTCTATTACCGGGTCGGAACCCCTTTTGCCTTCAGAACTGCCTTAATACATTGTGGCATAGTAGATTAACAAAGTACTGGAAACATTCCTCAGAGAGTTTGGTCCATATTGACATGATAGCACCAAACAGATGCTGCAGATTTTTCCGCTGCACATCCATGATGCAAACCTCCCGTTCCACCACAACCCAAAGATGCTCTATCGGATTGAGATTTGGTGACTTTGGAGACCATTTGAGTACAATGATTTCATCGTCATGTTCAAGAATCCAGTCTGAGATGATTCATGCTTTATGACATGGTGTGTTATCCTTCTGGAGGTAGCCATCAGGATATGGGTTCTAGGGATGAACATGGTCAGCAACAATACTTACTCAATTGGTACTAAGGTGCCCAAAGTATGCCAAGAAAATATTCCCCACAGCATTTCACCCCCACCACCAGCCTGAAACGTTGATATAAGGCAGGATGGATCCATGCTTTCATTGATGGTAAATTCTGACCCAACCATCCGAATGTTGCATCAGAAATCAAGGCTCATCAGATCAGGCAAAGTTTTTTAATCTTCTACTGTCCTATTTTGGTAAGCCTTTGCCAACGTAGATCAGTTCCCTCTTCTTAGTTGACAGAACTGGCATCCAGTGTGGCTTTCTGCTGCTGTCGCCCATTAGCATCAAGGTTCGACATGTTGTGGATTCAGAGATGCTCTCCTGCACACCCCTGTTTTAACAAGTGTTTTTTTGATTTACCTTAGCCTTTCTATCAGCTCAAACCAGTCTGGTCATTCTCCTCTGATCTCTGGCATCAACAAAGTGATATGTCCCCACAGAACTATCGCTCACCAGATATCTTCTCTTTTTTGGATTGTTCTCAGTAAATCCTACAGATGATTGGGCGTAAAAACATGCAGCAGGTCATCTTGCCCATACATTCCTAAATGCACTTAGTGGCTGCCATATGATTGATGATTAAAAATGTGCGTTAACGAGCAGCTGGAGAGGTGTTCCTAATAAAGTGACCAATGAAGTGCACCACTACTGCAGAAACTAAGTGGGAAAGTCACACCAACCAATATTAATCCTAAGCCATGTTGTGCCGATGCTTTACTGGGACGGCAAAAACTGAAAGATAAACGTCAGATATACCTCATTCTAATTAATGCAGCTGACAATTATGTGCAAAAGTGATGTAACTGTTCATGACGCCTCACTGTGCATTCCCTCCCACTACTCTCAGCATAAACAAACTAATCAAAGGAACAAAGATACTTTTACCAAAATCTCTTCCATTTTCTACATTTTTGTTACTTTTTTTTTCAAACGTAGCTTATATGACTTTAATGGAAATAGTATAAAATCAGGTTTACACTTAAATATCAAGTGATAACATTTCATATTTCTATGAATATATAATGAAAGGAAATAGTTTTTCACCTTTCCACGGACGAACTAAGCCAAAGGAAAGGTGAGTCTTTGCGGGAGGAATGGATCTGTGTCATTGACTGACTAACGACTATTGAGCACCTAATGTCAAGTCTCCATTTTAATCAGCTGTTGCACTGGAAGATGGTTATTCTAGTCATCAGTGCTTCCATAACTGCCTGTTTTACTGTACCCTTGTGTCACATGGACAGAAGGATGTTAGCTGCCAGCCTATGAGTACACGTGGTTGAATTCAGATATTGTTGGCCACAGTCTAAAAGAAAAATGCAGCAGTCTTTCATCTGCACATGCATATAATCGCTTATGTTATCCTAGAGAAAAACATTAGCATCAGAAAGCTTTGGTGTAATTGTTTCCTGCACTTTAGTTTTAAGCCGTTCAGCTGACTTCCGTCCAAAAGCACCTGGCACGCATGCCATTTCATCAACAAATGACTTGATATGCACAACAAGCTGTCCATTTGAAAACGATCTTAGCTTGACTGAATCTGTGTCCGTTCACACCTGAGTGCAATACACTACTGATACCACGAGGCAATAGCAATGCACTAAATTACTATCGATCAATGACGAAAAACTTTGCTTTATTTTTTCAAGCATAATTTTCCTTATATATTTATTGTTTATATTGATTTCAATTATTATTTTTTCTTTTTCTTTGATGACATTTTCTTTAGCTAAGTCCTTTTACGATTTTTGGGGGTTTTATAGAGACAAATGGTGCTTTGTTTAGGGACAACAGATGAAAAATAGCCTTTTAGCATATTCTGGCAAATTTAAATATTGTGAATCAATGTGCAATGTCTCTAACTAATAAATAGATCCTAATAACACTTAAATCTAACTTGCCAAGCTCAAGACCAGATTGTGGGTGCACACAAGGCCAGCCTGCCTGAAAGTCAGGTGCAGCAAGGAATCTTGAGATGCTTTTGGTGATGCCAGGAGTTTAAATTTGTGCTTTCTAGCTTTTGAAGCAAACTCACTGTTCTGTAATCCCTGTACTTTTAGTGCTTCGAGGACCTTCCAACATCCACATGGGTATTATACTGTACAACTATTCTGTAACCGTACCATCAAGACAATGCACGGTTCTGTTGGTCCTGCAGAGATTCCCCTTTCATCTCTTTAACAATGTCTTTAAGCTGCTTGACTGCACTGCATGTAAGGTACCACATACTTGTGCAACCAACTGTTCTTTAGGATGTGGTTAAACAAATAGGGAATAGAAGCTGGTCATCTGAAGCACAAATCCAGAGTTTACCAAGCTTTCACTAGTAAACGCCTCATGCTAAACATTTCTTGACTCCTTCCTAAGTAACCACCATAAACATAGCATAAAGAGCCAAGGCACAGATATGTGTTTAACCTTAATTTGTCCCTCTAGCACATATCCTGCGAAAGAATATAAAATAAATCTTCCTAAAAACTTAAAATGTTTTCCTCAGACTGGAAATAGACCCGTCTGGTATCTCCCTGGTTTAGGTTTGCAGCTAACTTCTCAATATGCACAATGGTTGAACCTTTCTTCAAGCTCAGTTTGAGTAGTGTTTTAATGCCAGCTTTAGTTCTCCTCATGACTACAGTGTCATCATTGTTAAATCAGTTTAATTCCTCCTTTCTGGTGTGCTTCAAGGTCGTTGAGAACTTGGGATCTTTTGCCCTAGAGGGTAAAATAAGGTTCTAGGAAATATCTGATGCATTTTTAAGCGATTAAACCACTAATCACATCAGAGCAGCTTTATGCATGATGGAGCCTGCTTGCAGGGAGAACTAAGCCGAGCAGAATCTATGAATAAAACAGTCTAGGAAATGACCAGCTTTGCTCACCGTCTCCAAAAAGCTGCAGGATGGCCAGGTCCACGTGTCTCTTCCATCCAGACTCCTTCTGGATGGCGATGCCGTATCCTGTAGTTGCAAAGATGTAGCCGCTGCCAATGGTCACCAGCTTGCAGCCTTCATCCCTGCCAGCCATGTAGTTCAGAACGGCTGCATCGTAAATGAAAGCATCTAATTTGCTGAAGAAAGAGGGTAAGAGACGGAGAAAAAAGAATAGAGAGAGACAGGTTACAATTAATTAGCACTTAGAAGTCAGACAGCACAGCTACAACATTCCAATTAACCTGCTAAATAGTACTAAGCTACTGATAAGAGTAATAGACTTTCACTTGGTTTGCCAGTGACTGGAGGTGGTACAAGGGCGGGTGAATGCTAGATGGACACTGAAGAGGGTGAGTGAGGGTATTATTGGGGTTATTCAGGTGTTTTATGGTTTTACACATTAATATACAGAAAAGTATTTTAACAATGATGTATCTAATGTTCAGCAATGCCATTAATTTCATTTCACAAAATCAGGTTAAGTATTTACAAAATCGAGCTGACTGATATATTCTAATTCATGCTTTCCAGTGAACTGCTACAAAAGACCTTTCAAAAACACATCCAATGATGGTTGTCAACAGCATTTGTTAATTAGCATTTCCATTACACTGTGAAGCCAAGAGTACAGTCTGCTATCACCAAATCCTCTATATATGTTAATTTTTCCTCTATCCTATATCTTAACATATTTTGGCCTCCCCTGTTTTAAAAAATGCTCTTTTATTTTGTAAAGCCAGGCAATCTAATAAAAATTTTTCTTCTCTCTACTGGACCTAAAAGATCCGTTTTGGATTGTTTTTGTATCTAGAGTCTATTCTGTTTATAACCAGAACCTTGCAATGCAAATGGTTTGATGGCTAAAATATCTAAAAGCCTTTTTTTAATCCAACATGTTTATATTGTATGTAACTCATTCTGCATGTATGCACTAATCCAGCGACCCTACATAATCTCATATTATGCAGGTTTTCTGCCTGCATATTATGCATAGCATTGCAATGCATTTGTAAAGACTCACTCACCTCAGCAGAGCAAATGCTTAAAGTTTAAACTACAAAACAGGCTTAAAAAAGAGGGCAACCAGACCTTCACTCGGTTCGCTCAGACAGTGAATACTGTATGGACACAACTGGAATACGATGGAACCCTGAAAGACAGGACTACTTTAAAAACCTGACCAGATTTGTGACCTGTTGGACCTCAGTCTATCTACCACATACTTAAAATACAGTGACAACCTTTACTGACAGAAACATGAGTGCACCATGGCCTTCCTAGTTTCACCCATAGTTGTCGATATCTATAGAGGAGGTGAAGAGGGAGCACTTAGCCCTTAAGAATACACAGCCAACTCACTGGTTCAGATATGTGGATGACACCCGGGTCAAAATCCAAACCCGGAAATTTGAGACATTCATAAATCATATCAACTCAGTGGATAGAAACATCAATTTCACCAAAGAGGATGCCAATAACAGCATGTTGCCATTTCTGGGCTGTACTGGGCATATTGAGGACAATGGAAGTCTTAACACTGAGGTTTACAGGAACAGAGCAATACCTGCATTTTGACTCACATCGCCCACTGGAACATAAACTTTCTGTGATCAGAACTCTGAGTTACCAGGCTAACAATAATACCTCAATTACAAAGGAGAAACAAAAAGAACACAAACATTTTAGAAAATTACTTGAAACTTGTTGTTATTCATGCTGGCCATTTGCTAAGACAGCCCAAAAAAAAAGGAAGAACAACACTGCGTCTAACACAAAGTACGAAGTAAAAACACAGTAATTACATATGTGCCAGGAATTTCGAAAAAACTCAGAAGCATTTTCTCTAAACTCAAAACACCAGTGAATTTCAGATCCAACAACAACAAACTCAGGCAAAAAGTGGTTCATCTTAAAGACAGAGCACTCAAATTAGGTGCTGTGTTTGTGATCCAGTGCAGGGAGGACTGTGCAGCCTTCTATATGTGAAAAACCAAACAACAATTACAGAAACGCAAGGCACACTATGGGAGAGGCAGTAAATGTGGCCAAGGTTAAGCGGTAAATTGCACATCAAGAACAAAAGACACACCTTTGAAGACCAAGATGTGGGGGGACTATACAAGCACCCCCATCATGATTCAAAAGACCAATCAATTAGTCCGTGCACAGCAAAAGATTGCAACAATCCAGAAGAACAAGGGATGCCGATTTGATGTGCATCCAGCGGCGTAGGAAGCGGGGGGGACGGGGGGGACATGTCCCCCCCAATATAAAAGCCAGGTGGATATGTCCCCCCCAAAATTGTACCGCAAAATATTAGATTTTGACAATTTTTTAACTATCGTGCTTTTATTTTGAAGGCGCAACATAGCGTTACGTCACTGTACTCCCCCTCCCCTCTGTGAACTGTTGAGTGTTTGAGCACTCAGACGGGAGGGAAACAGCGATACAGAAATCAGAAACTTGTTAATGAGGTAAAATGGTCTGTCGGGAATGCTGCTATGAATATTGCTTATTTATAACGTCTTGTTGTCAGTTCACTTTCATATATAGAAACTGAATCTTTTTGGTTTAGGCATCTTAGACTTGTAGGAAGAGGATTAGGGCCACTGAAAAAAGTTAACTGATTTTTACATTTTTTTTTTTAGTTTAACATGGGGGGAAAAGTCAGAATTCTGACTTTTCTCAGAATTCTGACTTTAATCTCAGAATTCTGACTTTTTTCTTCTGACTTTTTTCTCAGATTTCTGACTTTAATCTCAGAATTCTGACTTTTTTCTTCTGACTTTTTTCTCAGATTTCTGACTTTAATCTCAGAATTCTGACTTTTTTCTCAGATATCTGACAGATGATTAATATTTCTAATCAATTTACAGTTTTTCTTTTGGTGTTTGGGGGGCGGGGGGGGGGGGGGGGGGGGGGGGGGGGGGGGGGTACTATACAGATATATAAAAACAAGAAGGTCTAACTAAAAAATAACCAGAATATATGTTTAGAGTAAAGATTGACTACTTGTGTTTACACAAGCACACAATTTCAAATCTGCTGAGCTTGCTGTGCAAGAAAATGTAAAATATACGTATAAAGAAATATAACAGGAAGTACTGCTAAAACAAACTAAATGTTAAATAATGTAGATATTGGTTTAAACAATTCTACAGATTTGGAAATTTGGAAGGAATACATAATTCTGAAATTAATCAACAAATCTGGTAAAAAAAAAAAAATAAATAAAAAATAAAAGTTGCACTTTTTTACTTGAGGAATTTGTTGAATAACTTCATAATTATGAGTTTAACTAGTTGGCGGTAATGCTACACTTCTCTGCTTCCTGTCCTGCTCATAAAAGGTAAATATTATAAACCCACCATTCATTTTCTACACTATTTGGAAAACACAACACAAATGTAATATAACAAAAGTATGTTTAACAACAAACATGTTAGCATCAAGCCATAGCCATGTCTCTTTTAGAGACTAGCTCTCTTGTTTTAATGACCTTCTGCTCCTCCATTAATGAGGGGACCCCTCGGGCACGTAAAAAGTTGCCTAATTCTGTCATTTTCCACCAATGTGTCACTGGCTCTCTCAAACAACTCACATCTTTGTCGGTGAAGCTGAGTGCTCCACATCTCTGCCTTCATGGTGCCCATCTACATTAAGATCCAAAATTCTGAGAAAAAAAGTCTTAATTCTGAAAATAAAAGTCAGAATTCTGACTTTTTTCCCGTATTAAACTGAAATAAAATGTAAAAATCACTTAACTTTTTTTTTTTTTTCAGTGGCCCTAATCCTCTTCCGTAGTCTTGGTCTGATCACTCATCCAATATTTAACTGCTAACTTTCTCTAGACGTTTGCCACGCTAGCAAAATGTTTTTTTTATATATATTTTTTTTATATCTCATTTCAGTACAATGCCACCACCAACTAAAAGGCTGAAACAGCAGTAGGACTTACTCAGATTTTTTTTAAATTGAAACGTCAGTGTGAGTAACAGTCACCTAACACAACTTGTGTTGAAATTAGCCCGGTCTGGGCGTGCGTTTTACGAGGATTTTTTATTTTTTGCATGGTTTTGATTCTCCGAAATGGCAGATGTTATACCTGCCACGCTCCTGATCGTAAGTTAAAACCACAGGGAGAATTAATTCTAATTCTTAGCAGCGGCGGCCGCATTGGTCGTGCAGCGGACTGCTGCACAACCACTAATTAACCAACTAATTAACTTCTGCATCTTTATTTCCTCAAATAAACTGCTGGCTCCTCTTTTTACACTATAAACAGATTAACACAACATTGACAACTCTGTAGTTTTCTCTGTTCTGTACTGCAAATTGGAATTAAAGGCGCCATTTCTACCAAAGGTCTGGACAGACTGGCCACCTGTCTAGGGTGGACCCCGCACCAGCACCTCCCGACCCCACTAAGGGACAGGGTGTACAGAAAATGGAAAGATGGATGGATTTCTACCAAAGGTTGATAATGCGTTTTTGAACCAGATGCTTCAAAGCGCCCTGTCCATAATTCTTCAACACACTGTCAGCTCCCTCTGTCAGTCAACCTATATAAATTCATTTTTGACCATTATTGCAAGTTTGACAAAATAAAACATATCAAACTTTGCACTTGTGTGGCCTACTGAATTGTTTTGATTTTCTAGTGCGTATGCGGCCACTAAATATGCCAAGGGCTGAAGCCCTTGAAAGACATCTCCCTTTGCTTAATAAAAGACTCCAGTCATTTTGTTTGGTGATATGCTCACATCTTATGAACAAATGCATTATGTTAATTTTAAATGCATTATTTTTGCAAACACATTTATAAAGGAATAAAGTAAAAGATTAAATAGCCTTTTTTTTAAGTAGCATACTTAAGATATGTTTCTGTTGAATATTTACGAATCTCAGATTTCCGACATGTGTCCCCCCCAATTGTAAACATATTCCTACGCCCTTGTGTGCATCTAACTTGGAATGTGCTTTGGAATCTTTTCTACAGCCTAAACTAAAGCAACTAAATATTCAAATGAAGTAATGATGATATAGTGACATATTACTTTTTGAAAAGCCAATAGCGACTTTTTTGTTAAAGCTACAGTGTGTAATGGGCGATCTCGCAATCGCTAGTTTGTTGGCTCTGCGCTGCCGTAGCGCAAAGATGTCTGCCTCCATGGCTGCGAGACCCGCTCCTATGTAATTATAAATAACGAATTCTAAGGCAACGCAAATATTGAGGTTAAGAGGCTGAGCTCGTAGATGATGATATATAACATAGTTATGTATAATATATTACATTTCTGACTGTATATCCCTGTAATTATTACACACTGTAGCTTTAAGTTTTGGCAACGGTGCAAAGACGATAACGTCCTAAATAACTTAGCTTGTCCAACACAATGGTGGATTATATTTTCCAGACCTTGTTCTAATATAAATGCAATATAAAAACAGTTGGAGCATTAAAGACTAAAAAAATATTTTTATAGACATGGAAAGCAGTTTGTTTGGATCCATCTAAAAGACCTTTTTAAACTACAAACATATGTGGCAAGATACAAAACAGCACGACAGAATCCTAAAACTCAAGCCTTCCCACAGACAGGGGAGCGTAAATGTGTTTGTAACAGCCTGATTGCACTGTGTACACACTGCAGATGACTTGTGCCCTCCAGGGAAATTTTCAGCAACCTTCACTATAATAAAAAGGTGAAGTTTATTATAAGTCCATTTTCACAGTTCATTTATACTTCAAAGAATGTTGTTGTGTTGCCTGTAAAGGAACACTTTTTGGGAAACATAACTTATTATCTTTTCACGGATATTATATCCACTGTCTCTGAATGTGATTAGGAAGTACTGGTTGGTAAAAATGATTTTATCGGGATGTAAAAATGCCTAAATGAAGTCAAGGTCCCTACCCAGCCTTCAGGCTCTGCAGAGCTTCATTGACATTCCGCTGATTGAACTTGGTCATGTAGGAGTGCATTTCTGGATAGTTGTTCCTGATGTTTCTCTCGGTACTCCCATTCGGCACCGTGCCAAAGCGGAACGGTGGAGAGAAGTCATTGGGACTCTGGAACTAATCATTGGAACAGAATTGGGGGGAGAGGGATGTAAAAATCCTGACAGATTATTTCTAATGGATGCAATTAACCCTCGAAAGGTTAAAAACCCTCCTCTTACCTTCTTGTCTGAGAGACCAGTGACCTGATCCACATATTCCTCTTGGATCATGAAAGCAGCCAGGTTGGCAGTGTATGAGGCCAGGAAAATGACAGCGAAGAAGGCCCAAACTGAGACCATGATTTTACTGGTGGTACCTTTGGGGTTCTGGACTGGCACAGAGTTGTTGAAGACCAGACCCCAAAGCAGCCAAATGGCTTTACCGATGGTGAAAGACGGGCCATGAGGTTCTGAAAGAAACAAAGAAAAGTATTTATAAGAAATTAAACAATGGGATGCCTTTGTAAAGCAGCAGATTGCAAAGGTTTTATCTAGCAACCGTATTTCGTTTCTTTACGTTTTGCAATATTACATATTACTAATACGAAAAGTTTTGATTTTTATGTAATAAACCAAAACCAAGTAGCCTAAATGAAAGTAAAATAAATAATAAATAAAAACAGATCAAATTTATTTTAAAGGAATAAAAAATGTGGAACCATTTATTAATTCTACTGTTGATATTTTTGATAAACTTTAGTATAAAACCCCGAAATGAGGAATCTCAAAACTTCTCACTTAAATACTGTACGTAATTTGTCTTTCAATACTGGAACATGTCCAACAAAAATAAAAAGTGCTAAAGTTAAACTTGTTTTAAAATCAGGGGACAGACATAATTTCAATAACTATGTATAAGCCTCTTGCATTGCAAGAACAATTTTCTAAAATTCTTGAAAATCTGTTTAATACTCAAATTGAAAAATGTATAACTAAGAACAACAAAAATTATGATTGTCCATATGGCTTCAGGTTAAATTATTCTAATTCATTAGAAATTATAGATTCAATTGAAGAAATAGCAAGTGCATTAGTTTAAAAAATTTTAAAATTGCATGCAGTGCATCGGATCAAAAATGCATGCATATTTGTTTATTTAAGCAAAGCATTCGATACTATAGATCACACCATTTTACTCAGAAAATTGGAACAGTATGGGATCATGGATATCACAGTCTTACATTCGGTTAAAAGTTATTTAAGTGTCAGGAAACAATCTATAAAGTTAGGAAAGTATCCTTCATGATGTTTGAACACTACCCGAGGAGTACCACAGGGATCAGTGTTTGGACCTAAGTAGTTTAACCTTTATATTAATGCTTTTTGGTTCTGGCAGTGACCTTAGCACATTAGTCAATGATAATATATAATGATGTGGGTCAAATAAAACAGATATATTTCACCTTTCAGGTGAAACCAGTATTCAACTAGTAAATAAAATGAGATATTGTAGGGTAGTTGTGGACAGTCAAATGAGTTGGAAATCTTATATTAGGTATCTACAAAATAAAGACTCAAACAGCATTGCCCTCCTTAATAGAGCGAGAGACTTTTTTGACAACAAAGCCCTTCATATATTATATTGTTCACTTATTTTACCATATCTCACATATTGTGTTGAGGTTTGAGGAAACGACTATAAAAACAAGCTTGCAGCCATTATTTACTCTATAAAAAGGGCAATGACATACCTCCATAAATTTGGTTATTTACATCATACCAATCCACTATTCTTTAAGTCTAAATTAGAAAAATGCACAGATCTCATAGCTTTTTAAACATTACAAATAGTTTTCAAAGCTAAAATAAAATTATTACCTAAGGATATTCAAAAACTTTTAATTGAAAGGGAAGAAATGCTTAACTTGCGATATAAATGGAAATTTAAGGCAGGAGGTGTGAAGGCAGGAAAAAAATTTTTTTGTTTCAGTGAGCGGAATTAGATTATGGAATACTTTGTGTATAGAGTTAAAAGAATGTGTGGTTATAAAATTGTTCAAAAAGAAATATAAGGACAGGATTTCCTGGAATTATGAGAGTGATAAAACAAACTTGTAAAAGGTACATTGTTCAACATTTTTATGTCAATTATGTAAAACTCTATCATGACTGATGTTAAACCAGAAAAGGAGGGAGGGTTTAAAATAAGTGTAAACATTTACATGTACGAACATGTACTCTTATGTTTAATAACATTATGTATGTATTAATTAACAAAATTGGTTTAGCAGCCTTATGTCTGAAAACACTACATGCTCTGCATTTTTCTTTTTCTAAGATAATGTTTTTTATGCTTGTTTGAAATAAACAAATAACTACTACCAAAAAAAGTCTATTGTGAGGACCTGCTTTCAGAATTCCCTAATAGAATCCATACATGTGATCAAAGTTAATATTTATGTGTTGTAGAAAATTTTGACTGCAACAGTGATCGACTGATACAGGATTTGTAAAGCTGACGCAGACACAGTCTATTTTCACATAATTTTAAATTATTCTCAACATATGCCAACAATGTTTTTGGACTGATTCTTTGAAAGTGATTTTTCTTCCTCCAAAAATATGCAATATAATAAAAACAAAAATTACAGAAGTATCAATTTAAACAAGAAAACCAAATATTTAGTAACAAATGGAACTAAACATTAATTATAGCAATTTGAATGAACATCATGTGATCTCATGGCATAGCTGCTGATTGCTCTAATGCAGTGACTCCCAAACCTTCCTTTTCCAGGGCCCCCCTTTGTTTAACAGAACGTTTTTTTGTTTTGAATTTCCTCTATCTTCAGTTCCCTGCAGTTCCCTGCAATTATGCATAGCTCCCCAGTTTAGAATTCACTGCACTAATGAATTGCGCCATGGACAAAATTTTGATTTTAGAAATGTGGGGGCACGAGTATTTTGTAATATAACTGTTTTATATAAGTTCAGCATCTTTTCTAGTAGTTCTTCTGTGCTTGTTTCCTCCACTTTCTCTTGCATCTCTGATATTCCTCTCCTGACCAAATACATGAATGCATGACATGAACGATTGAACAATTTGGGGTGCAACAATCCATGTAGATTAAAAATACATGATTTTACACTTATTATCAGCTTGGATATATAAAATAAAATTTGTAGATTGTATTTTTTCCCCTTTTTTGATGATATTAATGATATATAACAATAATACATTTGATTTATCAGTACTTTTAATAAAAAATATACTTTACAAGGTTATTGAAAGCTTTAAAATGTGGAGGAGGATCTTAGAGTGGATGCTTTATGGAGCCAGTGAAGATGTTTTAGGAGGGGGGTTTCACAGTGCTTTGAATGTAACTTACATTTTGACCTCTTTTAAAGAGGTCTCTTATGTCTCATACAACCAAACAAATGCACGCATATCACACCAATTCAAAGATTTGTATAAATTAAGACATCTGATATTGCAACCCGCCTAGATTAAATGATCAAAGTGAAGAACAAAACATTTAGCAGATTCCCTTGCAATCTGTTTGCTGACCCATGTTCTTCTCCAAGACCATAAATTCAGCAGCGCTGTGATCGTCCAATCACAGACCTGATTCAGTGGTGCATAAATTGAGCTTCTCAGGAGTGACCGCGGTGACAGCCAATCACACAAGAAAAGACAGAGAGCCATTTAGGAGCTTGTAGGTATAAACTTAGGGCAGTGGGCTTCAGATTGAGAATGCACATTGCCCTAAACATCTCTTCTTAAATAGAAAAGAGGCTGGCTTACATTCCAGTAGAACAACCATAAAAATACAGCAAAGGGCTTCAATCAAAGCTAATTCATGTGTTAGAATGGCCCCAAATCCAACCCTTAACAGCTATACTTCAGCTCCCCTCAGAGATGGCAAAAGTACTAACTTTCCGTACTTGAGTAAAAGTACAGATACTTGTGTTAAAAAATACTCTGGTAAAAGTGGAAGTACTGATTAAACGTCTTTACTCAAGTAAAAGTAACAAAGTACAGGCTTGTAAATTTACTTACTGTAAAGTAAGTAAAGTAGAAACCACTTTTTTCATGCCGTTGCCTACATTTTAAATGGATGTCTGCCAATAGGACTAGATCTTCGTTGTGTTCATTTTCAATCATCTCGTCGTCCATGCTTCTATGCTAACGCCACCGCCACCAAGCTGCAATGATTTGCCGCAAATGAATACCGCCGAATCTGTCGATTCATCTTGTAGTGGTGCGTCAAATGCAACATAGGTTCTCATCCAATTAGACTGAATTTGGTATTGATGACGTGAAAAATAATAACGGTAACTCCATTGAAATGATTCAAAACTAAAGTAACGAGCCAATTTTTTAAAATGTAAGGAGTAGAAAGTAAAGATATTTGTGTAAAAATGTAAGTAGAAGTAAAAAGTCGCCATAAAAAAAAGTAGTAAAGTAAAGTAAAAATATCAGAAAAATCTACTTGAGTACAGTAACGAAGTATTTGTACTTCGTTACTTCCCATCTCTGGCTCCCCTCTAATCTGTGTTTTGAGAATGACCAAAATAAAAACCAAATCTCTGTATTTGGGTGGATTAGTAAGGAATTAGGAAAAGTGTCACACTGAAAAAAAAATAGAGGTTGACAGAACTTACATTTTCTAGGCAACGTGATGCATTTGGTTTTTTGAGTTTTCCTTACTTAAATTCACTGTGGTTGAGTTTACAAAGATTTTTGAGTTCTGCCAACTTAGGTTTTTGGAGTGTTACATAGAAATTTTGAGTTCTACCAACTTAGGTTTTTGAGTTTCACCTTTAAGTTCTGAGTTCTATCAACTTTGTTTTATGAGTTTGACATATAGATTTTGAGTTCTACAAACTCAGATTTTGTAGTGTTATCTGCAAGTTGAGTTCTATCAACTCAGTTTTTTTAGTCCTACCAATCGTCTTCACTACCAATCATTCAACACACAAAAAATTATGTTAATACAACATTTTTATTGCTTCAAGCCAAACATTGCATAGATACAGTATAAAACCATGTTCAACAACATAATCTTAACTGCACAGATCAAAGTAACATGACACTGGACCAGAATGTTCTAGATTCGTAAGAGTGATGATGAGGGAAAAAACAGTAAGACACCATTTTAGTAAGAGGAAAACACACAGGTAATTTTTTGTGAAGTAAGTGTATTAACATATATGAAAAAATAACAGTTTTACAAATTTGGACGGCCTTCAGTTTGTTTTTTTCAATTGTAGTCTCTTTAAATTGGGTGCACCCTTTTAAAAAAAATAAAATGAAATAAAATGTCTTGTTTCCCAACGGAAAAAGAAAAAGGTTTTCCCTTTTTATCTCTGAGTTTTTCTTTTTAGTCCTACCACTCCGACAGGACGATGAATGCAAAAAAAGAAAGTCCTCTTCAGTCCAAATCCTTCTCTTCAATCCAAATCCAGATGTTCACACGGTTGGCTCGCCATCTCCATTTAAGGAGAGAATCCAGAATCCAGGGTATCCAAAAAACCCAGCCTGCATAGCACAACAGGGCTTAGTTAAATCCATTCACTTCTTGTTCTTAACTGTACAGTTTATATCTCTCCAAGTATGATAAATTTCAGTGTGTAATGTAACTTTTCTAACTCATTACGAATTAACTGCTGCATTACAGGGTTAACATATAAAATGTTAATGTCACTGTTTTTCTTGTAAAGCAAATAAAATCATGAAAGCAAAAAAATCCACATGTAAATAATGTAAATAACAGTAAATACCCACATCGGATTAAGAAAGTAAAATAATGTAGTCTTGTAATATTCTGTGCCTGAGTGCAACAACACTGCACTACATAAAACAAGTTAGAAATTTAATAAGTTATTACACTCAACTTAATGTCTCTTTTCATTTGTACAATGAAAATAACAGGCACACTCTTTTCTCTATGCATAAACACTCACCCGCACATGCGCGGCATAAACACGCACGCGCACACGCGCATTATACACGTGCACGTGCGCTGCTTTTCCTTTCATCAGAACGTGAAAAACATGTGAACTCATGCTTCAACTCGGTGGCAATACACCACAAGGGAATGCTAACTCACGGAGCTAACCGCTAACTGTCTGTACTTTGCAGCACTCACCGGGAAAACTGGTAAGGTCCCAGGGTCGTTCCTCCGTGGTTCTCCAGATGCATAAAATCACAATGTCCGCCAATCTTCTCAAACACGAGGGAAAAAGGCTGTGCCCTTGAAGAAAGGGATAGGAAACCCCGTACCGTAGTGGGCGTGTCCATGAACATAAGCAGTGCGCATGCCCATGAGTTTACAGTTGAGGGAACTCAAAAAATCTTGTATAGGCGATTTAAAACTCCTTGTTAAACCAACTTCTGAGAATTTGAGTTGGGCAAACGTGTATTTATTTGTTAGATGTCAAATTTATATTTCTGAGTCGGATTACAATACAATTGTGTGTTAGAACAACAATTGCCATTTACTTTTTTAACAGTGCAGAGTGTTCCAGAGAGTATCTAAAGGAGTGTTTTCTTATTGCTTTAACTTGTTAATGGAAACGTTTTTTTGGTACCAATCATACCTTAAAGGATTTTTGCGAATTTGTGAAAAGACCCGCCCTCTCCACCCCAAAAAAAGCACATGCACAACTCTGTACCCACTCCCGAGAAGCAATGCCTATGTGAGAGCATGCACGAGCCCATTTCTCCTTGGCACACTCTGTTTAAAAGTTGCCTTTTGCATCACTTACTTATACAAGCTTACTTTCCAAAAGAAGATTTGCAATTTTTCCAATATGTCAGACTCACCACCTGTAAGTTAAGATGGGGACGAGAACGTAGGAAGGCCTTACGTAAACATATCACCAGAATGATTGACAATTACGAGGACCATTTATTCAGATGATCCACCCGGAGAAAGAACATCCTCCACTTTACCTTTAATGAAATTGTTCAGTTTATCTATGAGCTGCTTTTTTTCTGTGATAAGCTGTTGGGTTTTTCATGTTTGTGTGGGTTTGTGTATGTGCACGTATGTGGGTGTATGTTTTGTTGCACAGATTTATTTTGTTCTTGGACAAACTGATTTTTTATAGTGGCAAACATTCCTCTGTAGAGTCTCTCAGCCAGAGCGCTTCCTAAATGGACCCAGGGAAGTCTTTACAACCCTGCTACGGACTCATTGATACATTATTGCGTCAGGTCCTTTGACAGCAAACTTCGATCTGCACTCTTCATGATACCAAATTCCCATGAGGTAAGAAAAAGAAAAGCAGGAGGCCCATAGAAGAGAAGAGAGCTTTAGGGATGAGTTCATCTTCTCCAGAAGATGATGAAGGAGGAGAGGGATGAAAAAAAGATAACCACTGTCTATATATAGACACATCAGAGATAGACTAGAGGGAGATTGATTTTCCTCCCTTTTTTTTTGTCTCTCATCTGTTAAGATGGAAAGATCTAAGAGAAAACCAGCCTCATGGTGTCAGAGTTAACACAAGATTTTTAGGAGGAAATATGGAAATTTATGCAAACGACAGGTCCAGTGTGAGCAAAGCGGCAGTGGAGTTTTGCTAAAATTTGTGTTTAGACCCAGCTCCATATGATAAAAAGAGAGCAGAGAGGTGAAGAGAAGGAGGAGGAGGATGTGGAGGAGGAGGAGGAAGAGGAAGAGGAGATGGGAATAAAGGCATTGGGTCATTGAGAACGGCTGGTTTATGTGCGGAGGCGGCCTGCGGTGTGTTTCTCTGCCTGTCCGTCTTTGTCCACGGGAAAAAAAAACAATTTCTGCCACACAATCTGTGCTTGTGTTGTTGCAGAGAGAGCGGCATCATCTGACAAGCATCTGTACTTGAAATCGAATGCTAAAGGAAAGCAGCGAGTTGAAGCATTACTCATAAGCCTCTGTTTAATAGAGCAATGCACTGACTGCCATTTTCTCAACATAGACTTTAAACTTAATTTTGTCATTTTATTTTTCCTGTACCTGTAAAAGCTGCTCTGTATTTTTTTTTTTTTTTGAGATTTGCAGAAACACAGAAAGCGGTTGAAAGCTGAACAGGAAACGGTGAGTTACTTTCTGCAGGAGCTGAAAGGAAAACATGACTGCATGCTGAAAAAGAGAAACTCGGAAACAGGAAAATTGTGAAGGTTTTAATATCTATTCAACTGTTTGCTTGGTTTGATTTGATGCTTTTTGTTCTTAAAGCAAACCCATAAACCACTTAAACTCACAGGAGGAAAGAAACTAGTTACATTTACTCAGTTACAGTTACCTAAGTAACTCAGTTACAGTTACCTAAGGAATCATCTCGATAAAATATCTCTACTTTTACCTGATAAAAATGTTTGGCTACACCATCATTTTGGAGTGACTTTCCTGTTTTAAACAACAGATGTCATCTAGACGTTGGTTTTTAGGCTAAATCTGGTCCTTCATAGTCTGGATTTAGTCCAAAAACACTTGGAAATTGGACTAAGTTTGGTCGGTCTTATTTGATCCCACTTTAGTCCAATAAAATACATTAAAAACTGTTTTTTCAACAATCTTAAAATTGCGGCTTTTCATCTTTTACTTTACAACCAAATGACGTTGTTTGGACCTAAATCATGTCGCATTTTCAATGTCCTTTCAACCAATTTTTGCTTGGTGGATTACTTGAACCTTCTATTTTCTTTTTAGGTCAAAATAACATAGTAAGATGTAAACATCCTGCTTTATGTTTTAAAGAAAATCTGTTTCTTCTGCCTGGAAATGTTATTTTTCAGCTACATTATTTGTTTGTTTTAATAAATTTATTGTTGTCTATAACTAAAATACCAGAACTTGCGGATAACTTTTATTCATGGTCTCTCCTTATTAGACGATTTAAAATAAAAGATGTAATGATGAGTCACATAATAGTTCTATAGCCCTTTTATAGGACGCGTTTTACTTTTACTTGAGTGTAAACATGATGAAGTACTCTTAATTTAATAAAACTTTTTGATACTTTACCCCACTTCAGTTTAAATCCATAATGATTTGCAGAGTGCTATGAAGCATCCTTTGTTCCTACATTTCTTTATGCACACAGATGTAAACAGAAACAGAGGTGCTTACTATTATTAAATCTCCAAGAGTCAACACTAAATCGGATAATGAATATGTAGTGTCCTGATATTCAATTAAACCATATACAAACACATGTATAGAGTATAGTGTAGCATTTAAGCTTTTACAATCAATTAACTGTATTTTCTTTTCCCAGATCCAGGGAAACAAAACAAAAATGTTGAATTACCTATAATTAGTTCAATTTCATGACCCAAATGATTTTTATTTATATTTCTTCTTGAATTGTGTAGAAATTAAGCAAAACTTAGTATATGACCTAGCAGGAGGGGGAAAAAAATGCCAAAAAATTCTAATAAAAGTCCAAATTGGGCCAAATGAAAGTAGCAGCAATTCATAAAAACCATCAGTTGAATATAAAAGCAAAATTATGACCAATTTAGGACATATATTTATCATGGAAAGCGCTCTGCGATTGTTGCAACAGATGATTGTTCGCCCACGTTTGAAATTCAAGTTAAATAAAAGTTGAGCAATTGCCAGAGATATAAATTGAAAGACTTTGAAATGACAGAACAGCAAATCACATATGACATAAAGCCAAATATGGCAGAAAGTATATATTATTACATTAACAAAATAGTAATTGGGGCTGGACAGACGCACCACACAATATTTTGACAATTCAGATAATTAAAAAATGATCAAAGTAAAGCTTTCTTAAAAGTGCGTAGTAAAAAAATCTGTTTTTAGTCATTTTTAGTCATAACTGATGGAGGTTTGTGAGGAAATCATCACAACAACCACATGTTCAAGAATACTAACCCTATGGAAAAAGTATAAATCAAAATTTTGCTACCAGAGGTAGCAATACCGCCTCCATTTTGGTTGGTAAAATATTTGTGGTTTTAACCTCTGCTCTAAAGGAGGCCACACCCCAGTTTGGTTCAGATTGCTCACCTCTGCCATCAGCCAGACAGCGGTTGTAGCCCACGGGGCTGAAGTACTCGAACACGAACACAGCCACTGCTGACACCAGCAGCAGCATCACGAACATCATCACCCACACATCGGCGCTAAAGGGCTCTGAAGGGGTGAGAGGGGGGAGAAAGAGATGAGAGAAAGATAGAGGAAGACAATGGATTGATAAAAGCAGGACGCAGGGTGGGAAAAAGATAAAGAAGAATTAAGATTTGAAGAAAAGGGTTGTAAGGAGGCAGGAGGTGGGGAAGAAAAGAGGCAAATGAGGAGGGAGGAAGAGTTTCCCTTGAGCAAGGGCAGCGGAGAGAAAGAGAAAATGAAGCAAGAGAGATATGCAAATGTGGTATGTCATATTGAAAAGAGGATGGGAAGCGTCAGAGAAATTGAGTAGGAGTGGGAAACATACGAGGGCAAAGAGAAAGAGAGAGAAATAAAAACAGCTGAATTATCATGCAGCTTAGAAAACCTTGTCAGAGAAAGTTTAATAAAACTTATTTTAACATATTCTAACCTGTTAAATCCCTTTTGACATGTTTAATCTATTAATGACATCATATCTAATGAAAACCACACCGCCATGATATGAAGATAGCCTTGCAAAGTGAGCTAATACCCCGACCATGTCTACCATACATGCTGTAAAGGAAGAAAATATTCTAACATAGTTAACTTTGGAAAAAGATTGGCTTCTGATTCTTCCCTTCCCCAGGTCCACTCGGCGAGCTGCGTTTGGTAATAAAACCAACATTGCGTGTTGACGTCACAGAATTACAGAGTTTAATCCAATATAAGACAATGCATACACTTTAGAAATAAGACAATGCACAAACCTACACCAGAAACTGCAGAACAACAGAGACATACATTCCATTACCTGACATAGGAGGAAAGAAAGCAAAGAGTACAGAGACATCTTTGGAGAGTTGCAAGGGCAAATCTGATCTTTTTCTTCTATTTAGAAAGCTTTATCCTCTTGTATCTAATCCATTCAAAAAGGGCTGGCCCTCGGTCCTCCAACCAAACGCCATCTCTGACACTGCTAGGGCTTCCCCTTATTTACTGCAAACATCTGGGGTCATTTGCTTCTTTGTTTTAACAAGAAAAGGCGGAAAGCTTGTCCTGGCATCAAGATAAGCTCTCACAGACAGCTTGTGGAATGCGGGGGGCCTCACCATCCCTGGTTGTTTATTCTGGAAGACTTTTGACCTTCTGTAAACCAAGCAGAAATCTCTCCTGCAGGCTTAACTGTTATTCACCCCCCAGGAGATACTCATTTTAAGGCCTCCTGTGCTTTGAATACTTACCCATTAGTAGTTTTAAATCATTAACACAGCCTTGTTCAAAATTAAGAAATATGTTCAAGTGAGAGTGTTTACACATGCCATAAGATTAACTGTAATAAAGTCTAAAAAATAATCATTTTTCTTTAACAATGCCCACCACACCGACAGCAGCAAGTTACTGCGTTAAAGCTGCGCATCCTTCCACCGCGGCTACAGGATCCCCTCTTACCATGAAACCACAGCAGCCAATTAATTCTCTCCATTCTTCTTTGTGATGTGCGAAATGAAAAATTCAAAGGAATTTAAGAAAACCATAGACACAATCCAGAAAGCTGGTCAAATGAGGCGAAAAATCCCAGCAGAGCTGCACATTAAGCTGTATATCAAAGTGTGCATATATGTATTCATGCTCTATTTGAAAGTTTTCATACGGTTGAATTATTTCCTCAGCATGTCTTCCACTTGTGCATAGATAATGCAGTCCTTATTTAATTCAGGTGGGACGAACCAGGGAAACATAAAACATTCAGCCCGTAATTGCCATTGGACACCACTGCTCTAGGTTATCTAGATGGTAGACAGTAAACAGCACATGTTGATGTAAACCTTGACTGACAGACAAAAGCAGTAACCTTTCCCTCTAAGACATTGCTCGTTATTGTTTCAATGCAAACTGGAACATAACTCTATGGTGCATATCAATCCCAGCTTATGCCTTCCATTGAAAACATATCACTATATAACATATAGTGGTTTTATACACCTTTTAGACCTAATGAAAGGTCAATATTTACTCACCTAAAAATGCTGAGGGTGAAACAGTGCCATTACTGCGGGAAACCATGACACTAATTCCTGTTTCTATGAAGGGAACAGAAAAATCTATAACCTCAGAGCGCTCCTCGTTGATGGTTAGGGATCCGACAGCCATGTGGGCATTTTTTAACACAACCTGCAAAAAAAAAGGAGAGAGAAAACAGCATCTTTTGGTTAAGAACACGTTGGCTATTTTGGTACTGTTGATATAAGAAGGCCTTTTAAAGAAGGCAAGAAAAACATAAACAAATGTAGTTAAATATATTAAATTTAGCAGGTAACTGGTTAATCTGCTGGTAAAATTGCGGAACAAGGGGCTCTTGAGTTACACAGTTTTTTAAGGAATTGATTCTTAAATACTTTTTGTTTTGCCAACATCCGCAGCATTTGTGAGGCACCATTTTGGGTGGAAGTGAGAATGAAATGGTGAAAGAGTGATTGGCCAAATTCAAATGTTTTATAAGCACTGTGAGAGCCCAGCTTGTGGCTATGGTGATTTTTGATATATGTTTTTATTATTTTAAATTTTAGGTTTTTTAGCTTTTAGCTTTCTTTACATATACTCACAATTTTAGTTTTGTAGTTTTTAGTTTTTTTTATATTCATACATTTTCCTTTTTTTTTTTTAAAAATATCGATTACACAAGGATAATATGCTTTTATAATCGAAAGGGTGGACTGTTGTCAGAAAATTTTTATCTCTCTTTTATTATATATCAATTTATCATATTTACTCACCATAAAAGTTTTCACTCAGTCTGTTTTACTTTCAAGGCCACAGATTTCTCTCCAGGATGTTGTTTGTAGACCAGACATAGCTTCTTCCCATAACAAATCAGATTCTTTCTCAAGGTTTATTCATAACATGTTACTGTTTAACCAAAGTGTTTGTAATTTGTTTTGACTCTGACTACTTTCCATTGTTGTAAGTAAGGGGGAACGAACGCTGTCCAGATCAGAACAGGGCAGAATGCTGTGCCATTAGGGCTGTATGATGAACTGTTCTCTCTTTGAAAAGATATGAATAAATGTGCCGACTGAGTGAAATCCATCGATCTCCGTTTATTTAACTAGGATGAATAGTTTAATACTTTTTCCCCACGACAACTCTAACTTTTTTAATGTAATTCCCAGAAAAACATCAAAACCAATCAGATACTGTAGCGTTGATGTCACTCAGCAGTCATGATCCAAGATGTTTTCAATTTTTATAAAAATGTAGAATTTACTTGATCTATATTGGTTGAATGAAAGTTATTTTTTTTTTTTATATAAATTTTTTTGGACCCATGATTAATATGGGCTCAAGTGTAATTATTTCCACAACGGACTGTATTGTCTGACTATCTTTTCTGCCAAACAGATTGTTTTGCCAAACCACCACTAAAAAAGGATTCTTATAAGTCAAATTAACCGGGTCATAATTAAAGAGCAGATTGCAGGTTAGAGCCTCACCCAGAAACGCAAAATATTTGCGTTTATGACCAATAAAACATTTACCTTATTAATATACACTTCAAACTCGATCCATTAGACAATACTTAGATTGCATTTGTCAAAACATTTAACCTACAATTAGCTTTTTACGATTTTTGTCCTAGAAACCAAAGTGATCAGTTAGGAAATAAGCCATGAAAAAGCCATCTCACATGTAAATCCTAAAAACTTTTCACAAATGACCAACAACAAAGTTTAATTTGGTTTTTATGTCTCTGTGTGTTTTCTTGAGAGAGGCACCATGGGGGCTTAAAGCTACCCCGCTGCTATGTACAATTATTTTTTATTGGTTGATTTGTATCACAATCTTCTAGCTTTACAGCTTGATAGTGAGATGTAGCAATTATAGTCTTTGCAACCAGATGGCACAAGCATGGCATATCTAAACAAACAGAATTTCTTGCTATTTACACACACTGGTTGGTTCAGCTGACATGTATGTGGACTTCAGCTTATAGTAGTTCTTCAGTGGTTATGCTAAAACACATAACTGTTAAAAGGTAACCCTACTTAGAAAGGGACAAGTCTAAAATTAACTTTATGTACAAGACTTTACATCAGTTGTTCGGAGCTCTACTACTTTGTTTCTGCAAAGCTAGCTTAAAGCAGGACATAACAGTGCTATTATAAGAGCTTGTCTTTGCTATTTCAGGATGAAATTGTCTTATGAATGAGTTTGCTGTGCAACCAGAGGGTTGTTAGTTCAAGCCCCGGCTCCAGCTTTCAGTGTTGTAGTGGCCTTGGGCAAGACATTTCACCCTCATTGCTTACTGATGGTGGTCAGAGGGCCCGGTGGCACCAGTGTACGGGAGCCTCGCTTCTGTCAGTGAGCCCCAGGGCAGCTGTGGCTAGAATGCAGTTTACCACCATCAGTGTTAGTGTGTGCGTGAATGGGTGAATGTAGTGCAAAGTGCTTTGGGCAAGTCCTCTGACTTGAAAAAGCGCTATATAAATACAAACTTTACTATTTTCCATGAGAAAACAGATACTTGTGTTTCCTGTATGAACTTTTATTAGCAAGCGGTGAAAATCGCATTCTCTGTTAGTTGTCATAACCTGTTAAATGCAAACCATATAGAGAGAGGGGGAGCCAAAGGGCACATTTAGTCAAAAACAGGGTTCTATGACAGAAAAAAGTCTGGAGAGGCAAAAAGAGGACTAAAGCTGGAGACATTGTAGACAAAGACGGAGTATGGTGGCTAGCGACAGGAGGCCAAACTACTTTCCACACAGAGCTCTCGGGTGGACACTCGTGATGCTCACCAGGGCACAGAAAGAGGGAGAAGGGGAGAAGGAGAGAGGAAGAAAGTGGGTTACCACAGTAGGTCACGGCTGCTGGAAATAGCCAGCCCAATGCCTTTTGCTACCTGCCTCCCTCTCCTCGGTTCTTCTGCACAGGTGGTATTTTAAGACCCAAATTTTATAGCCTTAAAGCATTGGGATAAAGTGGGACGATATTGTCTCCACGAGTTAAAAAAAAGGTGTGTATGACTGTGTGAGTCAAAGCTCTCCTGTGTGCTTCAATGCTGAAGTGTGTGTGTGTGTTTTTGTGCACCTATATGTGACTCATAAAGAGAAAAAGACAGAGAGAAAGAGACGTGACTGAACCTTTGTTCATCTGCCTGTGAAGTGGACCTTTTCAGGCAAAGCATTTTCAGGCCTGATTTGCAGATTATGTGCAATTCCAATCGTCTACTTAGTGTTTTCATGCATTAGTAACTTTTCAGTCATATATTCAGTATGTAAGTATATGGATATAAATGTGCATTGGATTCCGTATGTGTGGATGAATGCGCGAACATCTCCCTGGGGAGGAGAACGAGTGGATCTAGCAGTAAGCTCACTTCCCCTCTCACCATTCGCTCTCTCCATCTCCCTCCTACGACTTGTTCTCTCCGTGTTATGAAAGTGACCCACGTGGGTGTTATTGAGAATGATTGAGCGAGGATCTGTGCGTTTGTGTGTCTTCGTTTGTGTATACGTGTTGACCGGTGTCTTCTGTGACTCTCAGCAAGGCTAAACTCGAAATGTATTGTCTCTAATATCACAGATTTGCAATCTTGTAGGCAGCACCAGTTAGTAGAAGCTCATGAAGACAGATTCTGGCGGCCAGAACAAAGTCGGAAAAAGGTGTCAGGCTTCCGAAGCATTTGATGATTTTCTTTGTTTCTTTTCTTTAATCTTTTTGAAATACGACAAGTTGTAAAAGCTCCAAGTTATCTCTGTGACCGCTCAGGATCTGTCAGTCTGTATATCAGCCCAATGGCAGTTTGACATATATTCTTGTTTTGTCAGCATTGAAATGGTAGATAGACAGAATTCTGTTGTGAGCAAAAACATACAAAAAAAAAACAATAAGTTGTGCAGGAGAGAACAAGACTGGGCAATGGATTTTTGTGGAGTGATATTAATTATTTTTGTATATGGATATTTGAAAAAAACAATACATAAATTAAACTTAAAAAATATATATTTAAACTAAATTTTGTCAGATTTCAGTTTTCCAATTTTTTTTTCCAAATACTTATTCTTATTCTTCTTATTATTATATTGTTATGTACTATATATATATATATATATATATATATATATATATATATATATATATATATATATATATATATATATATATATATATATATATATATATATATATATATATAAAATATAAATTTTTGCATATAGAGTTTTGCAGATTCATTCTTTTTTTTACTGCTTATATTCTATCACTTCTGGAGGGAAGCTTTACTCTGGAGCAAAGATGCATAGCAACAACATTTTTATTGGTCAAGAGGTAGCCTTTTGTATTGGCTTAATGAAGTGAAAAGAATCTGATCTGCAAAACACAATTTAAAAATAATCCAAATTTAAAAAAGGAAATTTGAAACTATAAAATATGTAAAAAAAAATATGCATAAAATTGAAAAAAAAATTTATAATATGAAATCTGAGAAAACTGTTTTCTTTTTATTTTTCAGCGTCCTTTCTGGATTTGGGCAATAATGGAACTAAATTATTTCCAAATATTTTCTAAACTAGGCTATAACTATAGAACTGGGTTGTTATTGTTTATCATTTGTACCTAAATGCACCATGAGAGGTGAACTCTTTGGAAAACTTCTGTTCGTTGAACTCCTTGTGAGGATGTCTGCTCTTAGACGGAGAAACATTTAACTTGTGACTCTAGTATTACAACACGCAGCGGGATTTGGACTTTAGCTCATTTTTCCAGGTACTAGTAATGCGAGTAGTTAAAGATGCCTAATCTAATCATTGTGGGTAAGTACTGACCGGAAGTTTCGTGTAATTTCCCTTTTCTTCTTCATCATTACTGTACGTGGATTAAGAAAACTTTATGCTTTCTTAAAGCAGACGTTTCTGTTAGCTAAGGGTTATATTTTGTTTTGGTTCAGTTGTTGATGTATAAGTATAATGAGGCATATAGTTAAATGTTTGGGCCAAAATAAAAAGGCAAACATTGATGAGAAACGTGGGGTTGAAGGTTTTCCCCAGGGACCCACAGTGACACTGAGGTTTTAACCAGAGATCTTGCAGCTTCTGTAGTACACAAATAACCTGCTGTCTAAGCTCCAAGCTACCACTCTTCACAATTCTTTAGTAATGTCATCTCTGTAATCTTTCATAAGGGTTTATATCTGTATGCATGCATGTGTGAAACGTACACAGGTATGTGAACGCAGCTCCTTGCGTTCCTAATGACCGTTCCTCTGCGGGATAAGATGCATTACTGTGCTTTTAGCCTGGGTGATGGGGTTTATTTCAGGGGACCACATTTACAGCTCAGTACCCACTAAAGACGGTGGCAGTAAGACAATAATTTCTTCACGTGAGAAGCTAAATGGGCTGGCTTAATGTAAATTGAATAGAAATAGCTTTGAGGGGGCGGGGGACACATATGATGTCTGCCACTTGTGAAGGTCGTCTTAAAAACGTTCAGAGATTGAGCCACTTAGCATGTTTCTAACAGAGGAGCTTTATGGTACTATTGATTGGCTTGCTACTTCCCTCTATAAAAAAATGCCAAGATCAGTGAAAAGAACCACAGCTGGCACTTACAGCCCTTACTATGAGAGCTGATAGTAACTTACTACGGGAGTACTGCCCATTAGATGATGATGTTAACCAGAGAGACTGGTTTAAGCAGAATGAAAACAGTGATGCTGCTGTATATATGAACAAGGCATTTTGGAAAAGGCCAAAAACAAACGTCCGTCATTTAACTGTAACCATAACTTTTCCCTTAAATATAACAATAAATCCAGGGTAAGGGGCGAACTACGGTGGTCTACAGGTGCAAAAGCAATCTAAACAATAAAATGAGCTGCAAAAACATTGATGATGCAAACTCCAAAACATAAAAAGCACAAAAAACAAATGCAACAGAAATACACTGTAAACACATAATAATGCTATCACAATAAATAGAAAGAAAAAGCCTTCTATCAACAATCAATTTTGTGTTTTTCATGTTTTGGAGTTTGCATAATACGTGTGTTTTATTGTATTTTTCATTTTACCGTTTTGCTGCTTCTGTTTTTGGTAGTTTGCATCATAGCTTTTTGCAGCTCGTTTAGATGTTTACCGAGCATTTGTACCTGTTGTGCACCTGGTTTTATTTATTCTAAATAACTTGAATTTAGCTTTCTTTAATGCCACATGAGTTTAGAATGTTAATCAAACAGCTCCAGGAAGTAGAGTCTACAACATTTCTTAAAAAACAAACGTCATTCTTACACTTCCCAGATAATCTTTCTTACTGAAAGACAGTAGAAAAAACAATAAGCATATTTTGTTTTCTCGTATAATTTTTGACTTAGAGTGTATACGCAGTGTATACAAAATAAAATTTCAATGCATATAACTTTTCAATAGTGAATGAGCGGCTTACAACAGTGAAATAAACATTACCATTTATAAAGTGCAGCAGTGATCAGAATGTAAACAGCCAAAATAGCATTTGATGACTTCCCATACTTGTTCTGCACTTTGGCGAGGGTTTTATTTCAATATTTAACAGGAATAAAATTAACTCACTATTGAAAATCCTTCAGATATTAGCGACACTGTTTTGTTACAATTCATTCATTATTTTTAGGAGTGCAAGCAATTATGAAGTGAAAAGGGTCTTTCATTGCTTTTACATAGAAACATATTTTTAAAAGAGTAACAGATTAAATCAATGGACTTTCATTAAAACCTCCAAAAGTTTGACCTGAATATCAACTTCATTTACATCTTTCCAACTCTGCATCATTTTGTTGTTTCTGCAATTATTTGCTGACCAAAAATTGAGTTCAGCCCGGATAAAAACACCTCTGTGTACCAAAGCCTGACCTCAAACATTTTATAGCTCCCCTCCTGTCTTCACTTGTCATGGAGCCAAATACACCAATGAAAACACCCTGGCTGCCCAAGTTCTGATAACACAATGAACCTCGGTAACATCATCAAAAGTTTCACAAACTGCAAATGAGGTGCAATGGTCATTTGCGAGTTTGGCCTGCAAATGATAAATGACACCAAAGTATCATTTACACATGCATGAGTTACAGGAATACATTAGACTTGATTTTGTTGACCCGTGAAATCTTCAGTATCTGCACAGTTTAAAGGATGGAAGCGGACGGCCGGTGCACCAACATGCAGAGATGAGAGAAAGAAGAGGAATAAAAGAATAACAGGTGGAATTCCTCACCTCTCCCACCATCCCGTTCCAGGTCCCATTGATTTTTTTGCCATGTTTTCCGTTAGTGACCAGGTAAAGGTCATACGTGAACTTGACTGACTTGGCGATTTTCTTCAGGATATCGATGCAGAAGCCTTTACAGCAGCGCTTGATGTAGATCCCTGATTCCTTGGTCTGATTACTGCAAGAAAAACAGAGACAAACTGTATTTAATCCAAATTGTACATCTGTCTGAATTGGCAAATTTACTTGTGAACGCTATCTAGTGTTTGTGGCGTTGTCATTCTCACACTGTTGAAGTGTGAATTTATTCTACCTCCGGCGCTGTAAAGCTACCGTGGGAAACAGCCATTATTCACAAATGTAATTTACCCAGCTGCCACTTTTTCTTCTTGCTATTCTCTCTATGGTCAGCTCTAGCTACTGTGACAGATGGGCAGAAAAATAATGCACCGATCCATTGCTAAACGTGTGGAGATAAATACGTCATGCTTTGTCAATCTTGACTCGGTTAAACATGATTTGGTGTATCCTAGATCAGACTCTCACATCTTTTTGATCTGTTTTCTGCAGGGGACGGTGTTCCTCATGCAGGTTCCACTCAGGGGATCCACATCCTCCACGATGACAAACGGAGCTTCCTCCAATGTCACGATGGACAGGTGGTCATCCTCCTTGGCTGCCCCTCCATACAGCTCATAGCGAGGCCACACGTGGTACTTCATGGACAAGGAGCCATTTTCCCATTTACCCACCTGCAGTGACATGCAGAAAACAAAAAAATGAGCGGATTGCCTCAAAAGGTTTTTTTTTCCCTAGCATGTCATTTATCTTTTCCCACATAGAGTGATATGCAAAAGTTTACATCTCTTAAACTGTCTCACATTTGGTTATGGGGAAAAAACAAAAAACAAAAAAAAAAACAATGCAAAGAATAACGTAACTGTGAAGTAGAGGGAAGTTCAGAATTTGTTACAAATAAAAAACCTATAAAGCCACAAAGTGCATTTTATTAATCCCGTTAAGTTATTTGTCTGAAACCTACCTTTCATTGTATTTTAAAAGGAAAGTTTTTGGCAACACGTCTCTACCAGACTGGGAAATCAACATCAACCTGCAGGATTGGTGAAGAGCTGCATAGGTCATATTTCTAAACCATATAATAGCTGATACGTGAATCTCCACTTCAACCTAGCGCCTTTTCAAACCTCAAACAGGTTTTTAACCATGATTGACCTGTTTTTATCTCCATTCAACTTCCTGTTATCTTTGATAGGTCCTTTTTGGCAATAAGACAAATGTGTTGACTGGTATTCATTAAAAAGGTTGGAGTCATTTGCACAAACAAATAAGTTTGCAAATTATTCTTACAAGTGTTTTAGGGTAAAAAGTCGCATTCACCATTTTTCTCCAATTTCTAGTCTTCTCTCCGGTACGCAACGTTTTTAGGAGTGCTCCAGGCTTGATGTAGGAGACTTGTGCCTAGCTTTTCACTAAATGACAACATTTATTTTACGCTGGTGGTCCCTTTCATTAGGCTACATCATTATATATATGCAACCTGCCTATAAATTATATTTTTATTCTCTGATGACAGAACTATCGGTCACTACACCTGCAGCTGCCATATTGGTTTCCAGAAGAAACTGGTTTAATTTGTTTTCATTTTGTCCAAAGAAAGAACAGTCTGTGAGCTCTATGTGAGATGAAGCTACGATTTAAATAACATCTGGAACTGAAAATGGATAGAAAGTTTAGCAACATGGTAAGGCTTGTATTCCTTTCACTCCTTGGCTTGATTACTACACTAAATTTGGAAATATCTGGGTTTGGGTTCCCTTGAATTTGTCAAGTTAGGGGTTTTGCTGTTAACATAATTGTGTTTGTGCATTATGGTATGGCAGACATGGAGTGTGCGATATAGGAATGACAGACGTGGTCTGGAGATGTACAGTACAGGTGTGTGTGTATTAGAAGCAAATGTTGCAGATGGCTTCCTGCTGATGGTTGGTGGTGAATTCATATTAAGCAATTACCCAGATGTTGCACCTCTTGCCTTCATGAGTAGTTTTCACTTAGTGTTTTCGGATCAAATTATTTTCCTTTTTATATTTTTTTTTTACTTATTTTTACCTCTGTAACAGTGCAGCCAGGTCATTAACAGAGGCAGTCCAGTGAGAGCTGCACTCACAGATTAACAGCTGTAAATTTAACAAAGTAGGTTTGCTGCATAGCTTAAAAAATTACTGTTATCTGGATATTCTTGATTCAATCTATTTTTTAAGATGTAGAGTTGATAAATAAGAAAATAAAAATACATTTCATTTATGCTATAACTCTATGATACCCACATTTTGTTCATTTATAGAGGCACCTGCGGGGTACCCTACCCGGTGCAGGACTCTGAGGTGCGGCTCTGCTGAGAGTTTAAATGAAAACTTTTATGAGGAAGTAAAATACAGATATAACATTTATAACAGTTTTTGTTGAAATCTTAAATATAAACCTTAAATATTACTTTTTATTTTTTATTTTTCCCCGCTGGCTTCATTGCACCTTCTGAAGAAGATTGTCTTTATTTGGTTTGTTTTGTGAACGAGCTTGGAAGGACTGAACGTATCACCTGGCAGGAATCAAAGTTAAAAATTAAATCAGATCACATTTCACACTACAGTAGCTTCAGTCCATAAAAAAAAAAAAAGAATAACTGCTGCTCTGCAGCTACAAACAGTTCTGAGGCATATCATCAAAGAGGAATGTGGAGTATGTATGCCTTACAGCAAAAACATCTCCATCCAGTTGGGATTTTAAAGCCTCATGTTGAGCGTCCTGCATTTTATTGCAAGGTGGGCCATCTGCTCAAGTAAAACAGGTTATATCAGGTAAAAAGAATATAAAGAATAACATTTTTTTGTTTCTCCTCCTGGCAGCTTAGGCTACAGTAGGTGTAATGTGACTGGTTGCCTTGCAGTGTCAGGTAAGCATTACTTTCCTCTACCAGGGAAAATGAGCTTATTCTACTGTTGTATAATTGACATTATTAACTAAATGGCACAACAGATTACACCTGATTGAAGCAACAAATGGAGGAAGGAACATCAGTTATAAGGAGACAAGGATGGCAGGTTAATGACGGGAAATCGTAAACCAAACACAATCCAGCCATTTAATTAAGGAAGTGAACCATGAATATTATAAAAATATGACACACAGTGATATATATATTACTTGCACTTATTAAATAACCATCAAAAAATTTAGTTTAATACAGAAATGTGTGCCTGCTCAAAACCATGTGCAGGTTATTCCTTAGTTGGTTCTCATTTTGAATAAACTAATGCATAAATGTGAAATGGAGGCGATCATCCTGTGTTTCTGCTGTGGTAACACTCCAGATGTTCTCTACAGGGTTTAGGTCATACTAGCTTGCTTGTCAATCAGTTACTGTGATAAACCTCCACTGATATTGATTGTAGTGTGAGCATATATCAGGTCATTCTGGATTCTGGAAAATATTATGAATTCAGCATCTAAGCCAGAGGTGTCAAACTGGTTCCAGAAAGGGCCGTGTGGCTGCAGGTTTCCTTTCCAACCAAGCAACAGCACACCAGACTCCATTCATCTCATCGAGTCATCCTCTTCAGATTGGACTCACTTGATGAGAGGAATGGAGTCTGGTGTGCTATCGCTTGGTTGGAAAGGAAAACCTGCAGCCACACGGCCCGTTCTGGAACCAGTTTGACACTCCTGATCTAAGCTAAGGACACTTTGAGTAACAGATGGCTACTCAAAACCTGGAACTTTTTAAGATTTTTCCTTTCAATCCACTTTCCATTTTTATTTTAAGAAGTGACTTTTTATGGCTTAGCCTTCTTATAAACTCTAAAAAAAAAAAAAAAAAAGAAAACTCTTAAAAAAAGAATATATTAGGATTCCAGTTTGCATGGGTTGTTTTTTGTGTTTTCCTCTGTCCACCACCAGGCGGTGCCCGGTCCTCATTGGGCCTCCCTGCACACCTGCGGCTCATTGGGTCATTACCAGAGGAGTACTTGAGCAGCGGGCTGTCACCACCTCGACGCCAGAGTGTTTGCCAGTATTGGTTACTCTAGCCAAACTGAGATTAGCAGAGTCTAACCTTAGCATTTTTTCTCTGAGTCTGAACTTGTTTTCGTCTTTTTCTTCGGCCGGAAGACTTCCTGTGTTACTGGATAAGCCTGGACCTTCTACCCCTGGAAGGATTTACTGAGTCTCACTGAGCAAGGGGAAAGCCTCCACATGATCCGTTCAAGTCCACTCCTGGAAAACCAAGTGCCAGTCTGCTCCTTTACTCCTCCGGGTCCAACCTATGTCTGCCTGTCCGCTCTCTAATGAGTTCCCTTTTCTCTGGACTAAACCCCCCACAAACTGGATCCAAGGATAAACCAAGAGCCCCCCAAAGTGAGTGCCTCTCCAGCAATATTCAAGCCTCAATCTATTTTCCCACGGTCCCTGAACTGATCACTGTGATCTCCCCTTCAGAGTTTCCGGTTCCGTTTCACCAGTCCACCAAGTTCCAGCATTGTTTCAATCTCCATCAGTGTTTCCTAACCTACAACAAACCTGTTAAACTTTTACCCTTGGTCTCTGAGTGGTTCTCTGCATGTGGGTCAGATCTTTAAAGTCCACTATGACAGAATGTAGCTTCAACACAAATAAAATCATTTAAGTTGATAACGAGTACTTCCAATAAGTTTCCCAACTTTATTTCATTACAAGGGTTTATCTCGACAACTTATAAATTAAATTCAGTTAAATCAACTGGTTATTACCAAAGTGAAGTAGTTTGTTTAATCGGAGCCTGTTTTTTGAGTGTAACAGTCATCAATGAAGAACTGTTAATGAAGAAGTCTTCACTATCATCATTACAAACATACTTTTTGTATTATAAACCGCTCTTTAATTAGTCCTCTAAAATATTTTAAAGGTTTTTATGTCAGATCTATATTCATAAATCATTTAATACATTTTTGATAATTAAGTTTGTGCATTTAGGGATTTTTTTTAGCATGAAAGTTTTTAATTTGTATTTATGTCACACAATTCTACCCAAATATAGTTTAGTGCACGCATTTCCATTGAGGAGTATGGTCTTGGTGGAGTGTCTGTAGAAAATAAATGATTTAATAAAATCTAATGTAATCTAATCTAATCAAATCTAATGCAGTACAATACAATCAATTAATTTACAGTTTTCATGAGCTGTATTCCATAATCGGAAAAACGAAAGAATACCTAAAATATATAATTCAGAGTGAGTATGATCTAATCTATATATGTAAGTTCAAATTTTCGATCTGAACTACTGAAATAAATGAACTTTTCAATGAAAATTAGATTTATTCATATGCCCCTGTAATTGTGGGATTGCTCCTGCATTCAACCGTGTTGTGTAAGTGCATCGTTTGAGAGGAGAGGAACAGGAGAGGAGGGGTAGGATTGGGACCTGGAGTAGAGAATGAGAACAAGGTTAAGCTGAAGGACGGAGACGATACAGAGGATAGAGCAGAATTCAGATCATGAGGAGAGAAAATACGGGAATATATATGTATATAACATGCAAGGAAAAAGAAAAGGAAAGTGAATAGAGAGACTTAAAGAAAAGCAACTCCAAACACTTATTTCTGCATAAAGAAAGTAAAATATAAAGTGAACAAGTGAAATGCAAATTGCTGGATCTTGTGTAGAGGAGTGTCCAGCTGTACGTCTGGAGGGCCCTCCAGCCCCTGGAGGTCTACTCAACTCAACAAGCATCACCAATTAGTCAATTTTTCCCCGATGCCCCTCTCTGAAACCTCTACCTGCATCAACCAGCCCCTTCCATCAAGACAAACAGATGGTTTGAAGTGGAAATGCAGCACACAATTTGAAACAGCTCAACTCTAGCGCGAGGGTGTAAAGTCCAGTTTGCACACTCATTAAACATGGAAATGTGTTCAAACACATTGCATCCTGGGGAACACAAGCTTGGCAAAGTGGCTGGAAAGGATAAGCTGAGGCTGTGTATCCCCGGAGCACAATGCAGCCCCTTTCCTGTCTGGACGACAAGTGGTGAGAGGCAGTAAATGACAGAAACAAGAAGAGAAAGACGGTTTAAATTCCGGCCTGGAGGGATGGGAACCGGACATTACCAGAGTCTTTACATTTCTTCAAAGAGGCAGCGAAGGGGAGAAGAGCCGGAGGTTGTCAGGATCCGAGAAAGCTGGAAATCAAGCTGGGAATTAAACATGAGCGATAAAACAGGAGGGTGAGGTGGAGGAGAAAGGAGAAGGTGGTGCAGGACGCAAGAGGAGGGGGAGAAAAGGGAGACCAGAGGGGAACAACTCACCTTGTTCTCTGATCAGAGGACAGAATATAGATTAGAGAGGCAGAAGATAGAGAGAAGTACAGGGAATAAAAAGCAGAGAGAGGTGAGGGAGTCAGGGCGCGGGACACAATGGAGCGGGATCATCTCAAACGCAGATGCATGCTGACTCGGCAGGTGGTGGGCTGCGACAGGTTCATTTTGGCTGGTTCTGAATTATTGTTGCCATATGCACACCAACAGCTTCTCCTCTCGCCATACTTGGTGGCTTTTTATTCTAGTTTTTATTACATCATAAAATAGATTTTTAAAGCTGGATTTGAATGATAGGAAGCTGAATCAGCATGTAAAGTTTAAATGGACATTTGCTTTTTACAGCTAAGAATATCAAAGTCTTACCTCTGAAGCTTCAGTTCAAAGGCATCTGATATAGCTTAATGTATGCATTACACACAATAGATGCTCTATTCAGTGCACACATACTGTACCTATAACTGTCTCTATGCTACAGCAGGAGCAGGAGCAATATCCACAACAACTCCGGAGGCGGGGGAAAACTCTGGACAGACTGCCAGTCAATCACTGGGTTGACTTGAAAAGACGGGCAATCATTGGCATGCATATCCACACCTACAGAAATTCTGAAGTCAGCAATTAAGCCTAACCTGCACGTCTGTGTAATGTGGGAGGAAAATGGAGTCTGCAGAGATAACCCACGCACTCTCAGAGAAATTATGCACGCTTCACAAAGAAGTACCGAAGCGAGCCTACAGGTTCTAACCCCGAGGATGGGAACATATGCTTTGGAACTGAGTCTCAGTCTTACATGAATGGACGAAAGTGAAACAGAAGGAGAGGTTCTCTGTTTTGTTTTTTTTTCATTTAAAGTTCTCATGACGAATGTAGTCAATCTTTTTCAGGTGTTTATAGTCTGCATTCAAGAATCAGCGACTTACCAGGAATCTGGTTAGGATTCATATCTGATGCCAAAAATGGGAAAATTAAAAATTTCCCTTTTTTTTTCATGTTACTTTCATGTAACGCCAATCTGTCGCATTTGAATTTGATGAGATAGACCAGGAGAGACTCCTCCCCATCATGAAGCAGAAGGATTATTGTTCGAAATTAGAAAAATGTGAAGAATGTCTGTCACAGCCCTTACAAAACACTTTACAGAATTATCGTTTGCTGCATTTCCTTCTGTTATGAATGTAGCTCATTTCAACACTTTTAGACAACACTTTTTTGTCAGTTTATGTTTGCTAAATTGTTCAAGCTCTTTTAAATGGGAATTTGAATTTCTGGGAATGAACATTATATTCTTGTCACAGATTACCAACACGTTTAATAATCTACAAATATAAAAGAGAACAGATATAATGGATTTTTAATCAGCTACCTTTATTCTGAAATCCGTAGAAGATGTCCAATTTAACCAACTAACTTCAGGAGTCATTTAATTATATATTAAAAAAAATAGGTGGGTAATATGTAATTTTGAAGAAAAAAACGCTGTAGAGATTTGTCAGAAAGCATTTTTACCCAAACAACCCTTGTCTGGGAGAGCTGCAGAGTTCCTCAGCATAGATTAAAACGTTAGTTGTTCTGCATGCTAAAAACATTGTCTTTGTTGATGAGTGGAATGAAGAAACCAACTGTAGACAGAAAACATTAAAAAGTCGTACGCCAGCCCCATTTTAAAACAATTGTCTTTTGAAACAATAGTGTGGGAAAACTTTTCCTCAGCAGAACATGGATACTGGTGCAGGTCGATGGGATGATGAAATGGTTAGAAAGGCCTGGTTAAAGTCCAGATGATAACCCACTTAAGAATGAAAAGTAAAGCTTCAGTGCTTCTGCTTATCACCAATTTGGGGAAGCTTGAGGTATTTTGCAAAAAGAACAAAAAGGTAAAAAAAGATAAAAGTGTGGCATCTATTCATAGATGCCACACTTTACCTATTATTTTTTTCTTTTATGTTACAGCATCTATTTTTTTCTTTCAACTGCATAATTACGGACTCCTTTGTGTCTGTCTTTCACATAAAATCCAAAGGTGTAAGGTGAGAGTAAGACATTTTTCTGCATGACCCTGCATATTGTTAGATGATCCGTTATAATTGTTTTTTTAAATCAATTCAGTTCATTTTATTTATATAGCGCCAATTCACAACACATGTCATCTCAAGGTACTTTACACTTCAACCAGATCATTTTAAATTTATAGTAGCACAAAAACGGTATAACCTCTACTCTCTTTGCATGTTTCAGCTAGTAATTAGATTTTTTTCTCATTCACAAGTCTTGCAAAGCATGTATTTTTGCTTTACTGCAGTGTGTAAAATTTGATTTTTAATGCCCTTTAAGGAAAATATTTACTCAATAAAAATTCATCTTCACCCTGTTTTTTTTCAACAATCTGCTGCTTCTTCTAAAAGGAAACTGTATTATAGCAGAATGCACTTACATTTTAACAAAAAACATATTAATAAAAACAGCACCAAAAATACAGTTAAGGAGATAAATCTGCTGAATTGAATGGCCCAAAGGCACCTTCCCTGAGTTGATGATATCTAATCAGAAAGGCGCATCAAAGGCTTAACACTTTAAAGGCTTGAAATAGTAAAAATCCAAAGATAGATCAAGAGAGTCACACAAACCTAAAAATATGACAGTGGCTCTAAGATTTTTCCCCTAATTACCTGTTAAGATATGGAAAGAAGTAGCTATGACTGTTGTTTTAGAAAATGCATGCAGCAGATGCATCTCTTTTCTGCTAAAACATTCTGTTTCCCCATCCTCCATTCGCCATTAAAAAAAGACATTTCAGGATTGAGTTGCAAACAGACAACCAGACACTGCTGCGTCTCGTTTTGTCTTACCCGGTCCCACTGTCTCTCTTTGTTGAGCAGAATAATGACAAGCTTAGGGTGCATCTGGTACCCATCCTCGCTGAACGACAGATTGCGCCCCTCAAATGTCACATTCATCAGGTACCTGCAGAGAGAAACAAAGAGGAAAGGGATAGAGAAACAAAAACTGAGCATGACTTGCTTAAAAGTGTGTTTGTCAGTGGCAATTTACATATGTCCTATATTTTCCAAAGATGTCTAAATATATTTTGCTGAAAACCATTCATTCATATTTTAGCATCTTAAAACCTTTTTCTCGTTTAAGATTTTCGTCTAATGACAATGCTGAAATCCTACAAAATAAGCTGTTGTACCCCAGGAAACATTCAACAAAACACGTCTTTTCAAAACCAACCTCCTCTGGGTTACTGATAGTGGACTCCTTGCCAGCCTGCAGTAATCTCAACCTTTGAAACTCTCCCACGAAATCCCCATTGACTCATTAGCTACAGCAGACAACCATGAAACAACCATCGTTCAACAAAGACCCTTCACATCTCAAATTGTCTCTCCACGCTTTTGGTGTACCTCAAGGCTGGGTGCTTGGACCTCCCCTGTCCATTATCTATCTTTACTCAAATGGTAATCATTTTCATTCATTTAAATTACCATGCGGAAAACACTAAACCTACTTGTCTATTAAAAAAGTTTGGTCTGGAAAAGAAAGCATTTGCTTTAAACATTATGCAGATAATACTTTTTTATTTTCTTCACTATATGTTTTTGGGTGTGTTACAATATTACTTGATTCCATACATGGAATAAACACATTATTATTATGTTTACTTCTTTTTACAGCCTAATGGGACGAATATCGTGGCTGGAGCAAACAATTTACATGCTCAGAAAAAGAGGAGGCTCAATGGTGTTTCTGAAAACCAAACGTAACATATTGCATTGACAAATGTTGAAACACATTACTACACTGGGTGAAAATAGCTGTTATGAAGCGCTCTGAAACAATAAACCCCAGCAACCATGACAACAGTTCAGGACAGTTCTGACTGAACAATCACTTTTCTCTCTCGACTCATGAGGAAAACCTCCTGCTGTCTGGCCACTGTCAGTCACAATTATGTTTGCCAATCAGCATCGAGAAGCCAGCATCACAACCCGCAACTGCTCTTTAACCCATTTAGGCCGGGAAAGCATTACCGCATTTCTACCATTCAAGCCGGGGGCGCTGTTGCGTAATTCTACCATTGACGCCGGGAGAGCATATAAGTCTAGCAAGAAGAAATAAGTTTTTTTCAAGCAAACATGGAGGAGTTTGACAGAGAAGAGTTGTCGGAAGGCAGTGATTTTGAGGAGTGTGTCGGCTTTGCTGACGGTATAGATGAAAATGATGACTTTGAACGCGCTGAACCAATCGAACTACCACCGCAATGCACGGAGTGTTTTCAACCGCACACCTGGAGTGAAAGTTGATTTGCCTGCAGACGCCACACCGCTGCAGGCATTTGAGCATATTTTTAATGAAGAACTTTGGATGCATCTTGTTACCGAGACGAATAGGTACAGTGACCAAACAAACCAAACTCCAACAAGAGCAAAGATGGCAAAGTGGTCACCCGTGACTGTGACGGAGATGAAGACATTTATTGGGCTGTGTATGGGCATGGGACTTCTTGTGTTGCCAGTACGAAGAGATTATTGGCGACAGAGTAAACCTCTCTTCAGGACGCAGTTCCCCCAAAATATGTCCCGGGACAGATTTGTGGCCATCTGGAGGTAAGTTGTATGCAATTTATAACAGACATATGCATTATTATGCATAATAATACTGTTAATAAGTAATCATCAGATAGTTATTTATGTAATGTTTGTTCTTTATTTTAAAAACGTTTTATATTGCACATTCTCAATGAAGACTTGATCACATATGGAAAAAATAAAAGGTTGAATTTTTTTATTTTTTGATTACTGCTTTTCACTTTTTTTTGTGAAGAATTTCAAAGATAAAATATATTTTGAGTTCTATCTGCTACAGAAGCTGAGATATCAATAATTTACTAGGCGTTGACACAGTTGCTGAATTTACAGGGAAAACTTCAGGTTTTAGGGGTATTTTTTAAAATCGGCCATAGGTTTTTAAGGTGTTTTTTCCAGACGTTTTAGGCCTAAATGGGTTAAAAGGCTTTGCCTCACTGGAAGTGACGTATTTTTGAGTGTTATCCAATCAGGGCCTCCTTTATTGCTGCTTGCCTCAATATATGGAGGGTCAAGCCTCAATAGGGATTTCTCACAGAAACTAATAATCCTGCTGTTAGGAATCCAGTTTGTGTGGGTTGTGTTTTTGTGTTTTCTCCCTCCACCTCCAGGTGGCGCCGGGTTCTCATTGGCCCTTTCACACACCTTTGGATGGTTGCCTCATTACCTGAGGACTCTTAAGCTGCTGACTGCCACTTCCGCGACGCAGGAGTGTTTCCCAGTTTTGGGTACTCTAGCCTAGCTGAGTTTTTCTAAGTCAAACTGAGTTTTTGTCTTCCTGAGTCTAAACTTTGTTGTTTTTTGTCATCCTGCAAACTGGATGTTTTGGACCTTCACCCCCTGGAAGGATTGTCGGAGCTTCAAACTGAGCTGGGGATTCAAACTGGAGGTTTGGATCCACTTTTCCCCGAAGGATTGTTTGAGCTTCACACTGAGCAGGGGATTCATCTTCACAAGAGCCGTTCAAGTACCAAGGGAAATCTAAGTGGCAGTCAGCTCCTCCGCTCCTCAAGGAAACATCTTAACCTGGGTAAACCCCATCCGCACTCCAACGAGCAAACCCATTTCTGTTGCTTTTACTCCCTTTTGCAAATCGAAGCTCAAATTTCCAACTGAGCCTGAATTAACCACAGGAACTTCCCCTTCACTTTTCAGTCCCGGTTCGCCAGCGTTCAGAGCAGCACTGGACCTATCTCTACTGGTTTTCAATAAACCTGTTAAACCTTACCCTGGTTCTTCTGAGTGGTTTTCTGCATGTGGGTCAGATCTTTGAATAAAATTATGACACCTGCTGCTTCAGAGGGGGAGATTGCATCTGATTGCGATCTCAGCTGATTAATGTGCAACATACTCATGAATTCAAGCACTTTTTAGCATGTTTATCTCATTAAATGACTGTCTTTAAGAAGTCTAAAAATGCACATTTGACTAATTATTTGATGTAATATACAGAGGAGGCTTAGGCTTCCTAGTATACAATAAGAAATCACCACAGCTATTTTTACGTTCATTTCACAAAAAGCAATCAGGGACTTAATGTGGCTGTGATATATAGTGCAGGAGTGCAGAGGAGACACGCTTTTTATTTTAATTACAATGGAAGCTAGAGAAAATAATATTGACAAAGCATGAAGTAGGGTTTGCTCTTAAGAGGTTTGAGAAATATTACTGCATGCTTTTGTGCCATCTAGGCTCTCTTTATTTTGGCTAATTGAAAACTTGTTTAAACGTGTAAGAGTTCAACAAACACCTGTTAAGACTTCAAAGAGAAGGAAGCACATGTCTTCAAAACTCAACGCTTCTGGAATGGATTTCAAAATTGTATCACTTGTTGTTAAATATCTTCATCACGTTATCTCTGGATACCGATGTGCTATGTTGTAGATAATGATTTCTGATATCAGGTCCCCACTCGGTGTATACTTCTATCCTGGGGTGACAGGAGAAAAAAAGGAAAAGCTCTATCAGCTGCACACCAAGCTTTCTGGTGCTCATGTGCATATTCCTTTAACTAGCTAAAACACAGAAGGAAACTGCTCCAAGGTTTGGTGCTAAACTAAAGAGCTCTATAAATAAGGAGTCATTAACCCTGCTGAGTCTAAAATCCAGAAAGCTTATCAAACCACAGCACAATTAATCCACTTTGAACAAGGATTATTTCAAATACAGTTTGAAATTCATGAAACTTGAATCTTTAAATTAAATTGACATTTTTTTTAAATAATTTTTTGCATCAAAACCAGCGAAGATTAACACAAGCATAAAACCTACCAAACACACCTATGTATCCTTAAAACACATCTATGGTTTGTAAAAAATAAAAAAATAAAAAATGCAACCAAATTTCTTATGTTTCCGATGAATACTTTGTTTTATTGTGGAAATATATCTAAGAAGCTGGTATGATGAACAGGTAGATTTATTAAGGAGTGTGAAAAAATCTCTAATTTATCTATTTTAAATTTTACTCTCTTCCTGTAAAAAATTCATAAATGTGAGCAGTTTCCTTCTTCATGATTTGATTTCATTGGTACTTTTCTGATGTTTGGGTACAGAATGGCTTTAAAATGTAGCTTCTACCTACTAGTTCTAGTGCCTATAGCTCCTATTCCTTCACCCTTTTCAGGATCAAAAGTAAAAACCCTAACCAGTATTGCAAAGGAGCTCCAGACTACTTTGCTGAATTTAGCCAACCTTCAGCCTCACAGATGTCATTATGCAACCAACATTCACATGAATGATTCTGAGACTACAGCATTTCACATAAAAATTACGAAAAACAAAAGTTACATGAATATAGTGAACAGTTGAACCCCTCCATTACAAAACCCAAAACAAATAAACAATTTGTACATTTTCATGCATAACACAGACCACGTTATGAAATAATGTGATTAAATTTGTTGTTAAACTCTGTACGGTGTGCATATAAGTCCTGTCATGCAAAGGATTATGGGCAACTGTATAGCTCCCAGCGGTGGATAGTACAGTGACAGTACAGTGACAGGTGCAAATGCGCACTTTACGACAAAACAAGCTGCAAACACCAAAACGATTGAACACACACAAACAAACAAAGGCAATAGAAAAATACTGCAAACTAAAATGCTATAATCAATACAAATAGAAGCAAAAGCTACATTTAACAAATCAATTGCAAACAAACAATTGCTGCAATCTTCATCTTCATCACACTGACAGAAAATCACAAGTTAGTTTATGAAAAGAAAAGTAATTAATTCCAAAATGGAAAGTCCTCTTTGAAAAAGTTTTATTTGACCGTATACATTTGTTTTAAGAAAGGGGCAAATGTTTATGTTAACTTGCGCCACAGAGCTACAGCCATGCACATGGGACGTCTCTGTGTTGCCATAG